AGGTCACACACCGTGACTCATGTCACCTAGACACTCCCCTCACATTCCTTCCCCTTAGATAATCACAACACTCCCACCAACTGGGGAGCTGGGTTTTTTTTTTTTTAAGATTTATTTATTTATACAAGAACTGGGGTACAGACCAGAGGCACAGAAGGGTGAGATGATTCACCAGAGACAGAATGGGGAGCAGAACAGGCAGATGGACTGAAAACACTGCTGAGGGGAGCAGCGGGCGAGATAGGAGAGGTCTGCCACACCATGTGGGTATCTCCCTGGTCAGCCGGGAATCGAACCTGCACTGTAGAAGCTGCAGACAGCTTCACAGTGCTGCGCTCAAACCACTGCACCACTGGGGAGGTCCTAGGTTTTATTTTTTGGGGTGATGTCTGTCCCCCAACTCCCTTGCTGGCCATCTCAAACTCCAAGTAAAGACATTCCTGCAGTTCAGAGTTTGACTTTCTGGGTGTGACCTAAAACCCCAAATTTATAGTTTATAACACTACTTGTAATTGATCCTTACTCCTTTTCTCTTTACTCCTTGCCTGCTCCAGGCATCAGGTCTTTTTGTTCCAAGAGAAGGGCCCATGGCCATGTAGTCAATCCCATTATCACTATTCAATCTCCCAGGACTCCCCTGCCACCTATACCTCTGACCTGAGCTCTAGAGAGAGACCTTGTTAAGGACTTTGAGGGCACCCAACGCTGCTGCACTGTCCCCATCTCTGAGGCCACACCCCTTCTCTCCCTCCCACAAAGGCCTCTCCTCTGCTGCCCTGCCCACCTAGCAAAGAATCTATTTTCCACATGGAGTTGAGAGAGCAACTAAAACCCAAATCAAAAGTATTTGTAAGTATACCTCATAAGGGGTTATATCCAGATAATAAAGAATTCCTATAGCTTACAACAAAAACGCCCAATTCAAAAATGGGCAAAGCACTTAGAAAGACATTCTGCCAAAGAAGCTATACAAATGGTCAATAAATACAAAAATTGTTCAATACCACTAGCCATCAGGGTATTGTGAAAAACCACAGTGAGATCCCACTTCACACCTATTGGGATGGCTACTATCAAAGAAACCAAATGAAACAGAAAACAGCAAGTATTGGTGAGGATGTGGAGAATCTGGAACCCTCATGCTCTGTTGGTGGGAATATAAAATGGTATGGTTACCATGGAAAGGTTTAGCAGCCTCTCAAAAAAGATTATAAATTATCCAGCAATTTGACTCCTAGGTATCTGAAAGCAGGACTCAGATGCTTGCATACCAATTCTAAGAGCATTATTCACAGTAGTCAAAATGATACAGGGCAGCAAGAGGCGCTAAAACTGGCCAAGGACACTGCGCAAATAGTTTACCGGTCACTGTCTGAGTGCTTCACCTGTGTGCACAATTGCAAGACTACTCAGGCTAAGGGAACAACAACAATGGGATTTATTTAACAAACCAGGGGGAAAAAAAAGTTACTGAAGCCAAAAATAGCCTTTACCTCACCCAAAGCAGTAGCCAGTGTTTTCAGTCCAAAACAAAAGCAGCTAAGATGGCGTCATTAAGGATGCAGAGTTCCTCTCCCAAACCATAGGCCACATGTCCAAGATGGCGTCTTCCGGCCTCTGCCGACCTGGAGCACGTGGCAGCCAGACTTCAGGCCAGGTTCCAACTTACCAAGACAACAGAAGACACAACAGGAGATGCTCCTGGAGCTTCTGAAATGCCCCAGTGCAGCACCAGACAAGCGACACTCAGGGCAGCAGCTGCAGCAGCTGAACGACCTGACAAACGGACACACATGCAGTAAAGCTAGGTGCCCTGCTCCAGGTCTTTACCTTCCCTGCCAGGCCGTAACAGCAGCAAAACCGAGAACAGTTTCAGTTGCTCGGCTAATTTCAAAGCCTCAGAACTTTTCCTCTCTGAGGTTGGCTGCTGGAGGCCTCCATCTCCAGAGGCCCACAACAGCCTTCTGGAAGATCAGCACAATGGGAGCTGAAAATCACTGACCTTAAACACTGAAGATCCAAAAACACTTAATTCCAAATACTGAATGAATCCACGCCCCCTTCTTCAGTCCCTAATATTTCATATCAGACACCCATCCAAATGTGATACTTTTTAGCATTTTCCCTGGGGCTCTCTATCCTTACCAGCAACCCCCTCCAGGGGGCACCACCCATAACAGTCTTTTGACTTCAGCCAGGGATTACAAAAAGATGGAAGCAAGCCAAGGGTCCTTCGACAAATTAATGAATAAACAAACTGGCTTATTTCTTTCTTAAAAATAAAATTCTGACATGTTACATCATGGATGAACCTTGAAAACATTATGCTAGGTGAAATCAGCCAGACACAAAATGACAAATCTACCACTTACATAAAACACTTAGAACAGATACATCACAGAGAACGTAGGGGTAGGGCATGGAAGGGAATGGGGAGTTAGTTTATGTTTGGGAAGATGTTAGAATTCTATAAAGGGATAATGGTATTGATGACATGACATATATTTAAGGTCACGAAATCAAACACGTAAAAAGTGGTATAAATGGGGTCTCCCTGGAGTCACAGGGCTATCAAGTTATCAGCAGCCACTGTGGCATGAGCATAAGTTCAATCCCCAGCTAGGGAGCTAACCCACATGGCACTGCAGTCGTCTCCTGTCTCCCCCAATGCTCCCCTCAGCAGTGTATTTCAGTGGATCCGCCTGGTCTGCTCCCCACTCTGTCTCTGGTGAATCCTCTTACCCTCCCACCTCAGGCCTACACCCCAGTTTTTGTATGCATAATAAAAGCAATTCTTTTAAAAAGGTGGTTAAAATGTTAAAAATTGTATTTTGTGTAATATAATGATAATTTAAAAAATGACATCCACCTATTTTAATTTGTATCTAAAATGAGATGGCTCGGCTTGATGAATGAGCAAAGGAATGGATAGATGGATATAGTACGATGTACCCAATGAATTTAGCAAATTCATTGTAGAAACTAGGGGTTTTCACTGTACTCTTCTTCCAGCTTTTCAGTGTATTTGCAATTTTCTAGAATGAAAAGTCCTCCTGATGGATCTGGGTGGCTATTTGGCTATTTGGGTCACAAAAGAAGGACCAGCAGAGCTCTAGCTGAGAGGGTGCCACGCCCTCTGTGAAATTCTTGCCAAAAAACGGAAGCTGAATTTGACCATTGGTCTGTCAAAGGACAGAAAGATGCACTAAACCACACTGCAAGGATGATATCAGACTGGTAAAATCTACAGAACAAACAACCTAATTTCTTCAGTAAGTGTCATAAGAGAAAAAAAAAAAAAAAAAAGGAAAAAGAACCTCAAACCAAAGGATCCTGTCCTCAAAAAATATGCAGGGACCTCATTTGGATTTTTATCTGAACAAGCTGCAAACACACACCGAATGTTTGAGATGGTTGGGAAAATCTAAACAGAGTATACAATGATACTGAGGTTTTGTGTTTGCTTCGGCAGCACATATACAATGATACTGAGGTTTTATTGTTAAACTTTTTAGTTGTGATAATGATATTGTAGTTATGTTCAGTTCTATCTTTCCAAGTTTTTAGGGTGAAATAAATGATTGGGATTTGCTTCAAAATCATCCAATTGCAGTGGTAGAAGTAGAGTTGAAACAAGACTTGCCATGGGGGTTGAGAACTGTTGATGCTGGCCTGCTTAAGTGCAAGGTAATTACATTATTCTCCATTTTTCCATATGCTTTAAATTGTCCATAATAAAAGTTGTGGTTTTTTTTTTTAAATGTTTACTTATTTATGCACGCAAGAGCTGGGTGTTAGCCAGAGGTGTGGGAGGGGTGTGGGGGGTGTGAAGATTCACCAGAGACAGAGTGGGGAGTAGAACAGGCAGACCGACTGAAATACACTGCTTAGGGGAGCAGTGGGCGAGACAGGAGAGATCTGCTGTGCCATGTAGGTCACCTCCCTGACCAGGGATTGGACTCATGCTGCAGTGGCTGCTGATAGCTTCATAGTGCTGAGACTAACCCCTTGCACCACCAGGTAGACTCCCATAATAAAAGTTTAAACAACAGTAAGTCTTGGGCCTCCTGGTGGCACAGGTGGTTGAGTGCTGCACTGTGAAGATGTCCACAGCCTCTGCAGCACGGGTTCAATCCCAGCTGGCAGGTGAGAATCCCACATTGTGCGGCAGACCTCTCCTGTCTCTCCCACTGTTCCCCTCAGCAGTGTATTTCAGTCAGTCTGCCTGTTCTGTTTCCTGCTCTGTCTCTGGTGAACCCTCTCACCCTCTGGCGCATCTGGCCTGTACCCTAGCTCTGGTATAAATAAAATAAATCTTTTAAAAAAAAAAACAAGAGTAAGTCTTGATAATTTGTAAAAAAAATAAGGCTAGCCTGTCAATACTCTAGTGGCAAGGTCTTTCCCAATTGCCAGGCTCTGTTCCCTTTGGGTGTTTGTCCTACACATACCCTTGAACATGGTTGGCACCATGTGCACACATGGTTACTCACTGCAGTAGCAACACAGGGATGGCAGGGGGTTAGAGAGGACAACATGAACTCCAACAGAGAACAAATGCTGCTAACTTTTAAATGATGGGTTTCAACAAAACCACAATATTGGAACAGAGACAGTGTATGCTGCTATGGGGAACCATCTCCAAGACCTATCATGTCGGAGGGAACAGCAAGGACACAGGCTACAGCTCTATAGAGTACCAGATGCTACTATTTTTGTGGAAGATGGGAACATAATATGTGCACAGATTTCCTTGTATCGGAATAAAATGTTTTTGGAAGCAACAACAGGAAACCAGATGACATTAGCTGCCTCCAGCAAGGTGATACTGGTGCTGATGGACAGAAAATATTTCACTGCCTATGTCAGTATTACCTATCTGAAAAAAGGAATTATAATGAATATTTTACTTTGAAAACTTATAACCAGCAAATATCATTAGGAGAGTGTGGGATTATTTGGTTGGGAGAGTTGTAATGCACAAAATCTTTTTTTTTAAAAGATTTATTTTTTAATTTATACAAGAACCGGGGTACAGGCCAGATGTGCAGGAGGGTGAGAGGATTCACCAGAGACAGAGTGGGGAACAGAAGAGGCAGAATGACCGAAATACACTGCTGAGGGGAGCAGCAGGTGAGACAGGAGAGGTCTGCTCGCCATGTGGGTTGCTCCGCGGCCAGCAGGGACTGAACCAGCACTGCAGAGGCTGCAGACAGCTTCACTGCACTGTGCTAGGCCCAATGCACAAAGTCTTAAGAAATCCTATGGGAAGGAAAATATTTAACTGCCTTTCACAAAATGTGTGACTAGTATCTCTAGTATGGCTGGTAAGTACAATAGGTAGAAACACTTTGGCATCTACCACCACCATCACTGAATGTTTATTAAGCCTTTGTTTACATGTCTCTGCTGAGAATCTGACATACATGATCTCGTTAGGTCTTTGCATTATTCCTATGAGGTGGCAAGTATGAACATTCCCAGTTCATTGCTGAGAAGGGAGGCCCAGGAAACCACTTGCCTATGGTCACACAGGGAAGAGAGGGTGAAATTGGCAGTATTATCTGTGCAGTGCTTTGAGTGCTTTCTGTAATCCCTGAAACCATTCTGCTAGTTGGTTGTTCAGAGGTGAGCAAAGGTTTAACAGTTTATTCTGGCTCTAAGTGCAGTCCTCCAGGACAGCAAACCCTAGCTGTGGATCAGTCAAAGTAACATTCTCCAACTGCGGGAATAATGAGTTTATTACTGGCTAGTGGAGAAAGTGAGAGCTGGAAGAAGGTAAAAGATCAGATTCAAGAGCCTGGTTGGCTTCTTGCTTGTCCTGAGTCCCTCAAAGGTCTGGGTCAAGCTCACCCATGGACGGCGTTACAGTCTGAATGTTTATGCCCCTTGCAATTCATGTTGAAATTCCTCAATGTTACATTAGAAGGTGGGGCCTTTGAGAGGTGCTTAGGTTATGAGGGAGGAATCCACACAAACAGGGTTAATGTCTTATACAAAAGTGACTTCAGAAAGAATCCTATCCTCTTCTATCCGCTGAGAGCACAGGCAGGCATGAATAGCTATGAACCAGCAGGAACCAGGAAGAGCACCTTCGCTAGAATGTGACTATGTTGGCACTGATTTTGGATCCCCAGACTTCAGAACTGGCAGAAATGAATGTCTGTTGTTTGTAAGCCATCCTGTCCATGGTCTCATGGCACCCAGAGGGATTAAGACAGAAGTAAAGTCATCTCACAGAAGTGAGGTCTCCAACAGGAGCCACACACAGCAGGTGGATGAGGCCATGTTCCCATGTTGCATTTCTCCTGGATGGGGCAGTGGGAGTCTCTCTGTGGGCACCATCTGTTCCAATCTCTCCAAGCAGAGCTGCCAGTGGGCTTCAGCATACACTGAACACCGAAGGGGCCTGACCTTGGTATTTCTCGTGGACTGTCTTGAGGATGGGGATGAGATTTTGGAAGGTCGGGCGAAATGAGGCCTCTGCCTCCCAGCAGTTCTTCATGAGGAGATAGATCTAGGGAAGGAAAACTTGGATCTGTGGTTGATGTTCTCCCTACTCCCCAGGTGGGGGCAAGAGGTCTGGGGGTGGTTCTCACCTCACAGGGACATTTGTCTGGCTGAGGCAGCCGTTCCCCTTGTTCCAACAGTTCAGTAAGCCTCAGCACTGTCCTCTGGCCCTGGTTGAGGCCTATGAGTTCAATGAATTTCTATAAAAGAAACAAAACAAATCCTTTTCAAGAGGGAGGGAGGTCTAGTAGAGGTCAGAGACTTGAAGCAGGACTAAGGGTGCAAGACTCATTTCTACCACTCTTGGTTGTATGGCTTTAGAATTATGACTTCACCTCTATGGGCCTCAGTTTTCTCATCTATCAAATGCCACCACTTGGGGTTATTGTGGGGTTATTAGTTACATAAACTAACATGGAGAAAGTCTGTATCAGGGGGTTGCAGCTATTATTATATTATAAAACAACCTCCCAGCAGGTTGTTTTTGCCTCTGTAGAATCATTCCCTCCCTCCCTTTGGGAATATCCCCTTCCACCAGCCCAGGCCTGGCCAAGCACTGTGGCCTGTGGCTACAGAGTTGATTACAGCCACATGTGACACAAGTTGGGCCAATCAGAGTCCTGAGAATTACGTTGGAAAGAGGATCCCTGGTCCTCTGTGGAGGGGAGTGAGGGACACAGTTGCCACAACAGAGGGAGCCCTTCCCTGAGAGATACTACCACAAAGAACAGAAAACAAGAGATGAAGAAGGGTTTCCTGATATCTGAGGGTATAGAGCAAGCCATGTCCCCAGGCGCCTCTGGAGTTTGCAAACGGCAGAATGATCTGTTACTGTCTTGTTTAAGTCCAATTGAGTGGGGCTTCTGTTTAATCAAAGCCCCTCATGCTATAAGTTGTCCATTTTATAGATTGGGACTGTAAGGCTCAGTTGGATTAAGTGCTTGCTTAGGTAGGGAGCTGAGAATTGAATGCATGACTTTTGAACTCCTATAGCATGGGGTGGAGTGGTAGATGGATTCTCACCGATGGAGGGCTCTGGCTGGAGTCACAGTGGGTCAGCAGCTCATACATGGTGACCCCAAAGGACCAGACATCAGATGCATAGTAGAATTTACATTCCTTCAGACACTCTGGGGCATACCTGTAAGAGGGGGCACTCAGGTCTTGGGGCCACACCAGGCTGAAGTTCTTACCTGGAATGTAAGGACTCCTCTGGCCCCAGTTAGGGTCCCACCCTTAAGGGGGAGGGCAGTTACACCGAGACTAGGTCTTGTCATCTGGGACCCCAGCATTATCTCCTCCACCCTATCTGTTCCAGGTGACCAAGGCATCCCCCCCCGCCCCCACTGAATCCCGCCTGGTCACCAGAACACGGGGCTATCCCCATCCTCGTGGACGCGGTAGTATTCGTGGCCTTCAGGCACGGCCTTGGCTAGGCCAAAGTCCCCAATCTTGACCAGCTTGTCATTGTCCAACAGCACATTGCGGGCAGCCAGGTCTCGGTGGATGTAGTGCTGCGAGTGCAGGTAGGCCATGCCCTGGAGTCCAGGAAGGCTAAGTCAGTGGGGCAGGACAGAGCCTGAGGAGTGACTAGGATGTCTGGGGGAGTTAGGTCAGGCTTTGGAGGATCATACTGGGATAGAACTGGCAGGATGACAAGTGGAGCCAGGCCAAAGGGAGCAGAGCCTGGAAATCAAGGGTGGGACTACAAGGTGACCCCATAGGGGGAGGGGTGACAAGTAAGTAGAGAGTGTCAGGGTGGGTTGGGGGCCAGACTGATAAGGTTGAGGCCAGGTGACCAGCCCAGGGTTAGGGTCAGGTGAGCAGCTGGGATGGGACCCTAAAAACAGGTCAAAGAGGAGGGGGCAGATTCCAGGAATAGGGATGGGAATGGCCTACCTCACAGATCTGCAGAGCGAAGAGCAACAGCTGGGCCAGCCCAACACTGTGCCGGGGTAGGTAGTCTCGGAGGCTGCCCAGAGGCACATACTCCATGACAAGCTGCACTGACTTCTCCCCTGATGAAGGAGAAGGAGGGCCACATGCTGGCCACAGAGGCAGGGACAGCCCGCCCAGTACTCTGTACCTCCTTGCCAGTCCTGCCCCAACGTGGGAGAGGGAAGACAAAAGCCCGCCTACACTAGGCATCAGGTGAGATGGGCCCATTCAGAATCCCTTAGTCAGGTAGGAGAGCAGACTCTGAGTTGCGCCCACTCTGGCCCAGAAGAGGAGGCAGCTAGTCGATATACCACTATGGTGCCTATAGACTGCGCCGTCCAGTCTGGATTCAGAGATTCTAATTGGCCAGGCCCTGCTGGTCCCGCCCACAAAGCCACACCCAAGTTCCAATCCTACCCCACCCACCTTGATCCCCGCAGCAGCCCTTGTACTTGACGATGTGCTTGTGGTACAACGTGCGCAATATGTCAATCTCTCGTGTCCAGCCGGGGAGGAGCTGGGGGCTGCAACCTGCTTTGAGGGCCTTCACGGCCACCATCTCGCCAGTCCCATCGTTGTTCGGGTCGTAGCAATACAGGCTGACCTTGCCAAAGTGACCCTGGCCAGAGTGCACAAGGGTGAGCCTCATCCCGGGTTCCCTTGGTGCCGCCTCCAGGGGCACCTGTTAGGAAAGCCCTTGGCCATACCTAATCGGTATTAGAGGATCTCTTAGGGGGCCTAGCCCCCACTTCTCCCTTGAGAGGGAGGGATTTTAGGCCAGGCCCCACCCACATATCAGGAGAACAGCTGGCAGGTAGTACTTCCTGTAAGTCCCACTCTCTCCCACTAGGAAGTGCGTCTAACAACCCGGGCCCGCCCCGCAGTTCTCACCTCGCCCAGGTCCCTGATTTTTTTCAAATAGCGCTTGTGGAAAACGGTGGAATCTGAAGTTGGTGAGTCCGGATTCACCGCAGAAACATCGAGATCTAAAAGAGCCACAGTGGGTTAGGCTGTGCAGCCCCTTCCTCTCCCAACAGGCCTATACTTGTGAGCACAGAAAAAGTGGCCATTGCTTCTCCCAGAACCGATTCATAGATAAGGAAAAAAAATTATTTTTGCAACAGCTAGAAAATTCCACTTCTTGTTCAAAATGCACAGTTGGCCATTTCAAAATTGATACCTGGATGCAAACTTTTCTTCCATAGGAACACAAACAAAAAAATTTATTCAAAGAAGTTGTGGTTCTCCCAAACAAAAAGGGTATGGCATCCCCATACCCTTAAGTGAGTTATAAACTGGCACATGCCCTGAGCCACTATGTAGAGACCTTGTGTGCACTGCGCAGGAATCCCAGCCCTGCTCCCTTCTCCCAGGGTCCCAGCATTGGGGTGGGACTCACTTTGGGGCTGCAGTCGAGTGAGGTCCCGCAGGATGGTGCGGAAGGATGGCCGCTGGCCTGGCTCATAGTTCAGGCATTGGCTGGTAAGCACCGCCAGTTCTGGGGAGGAAGGCTGGGGCAGCTGGTGCTGCTTCTGGTAGAAGTGCTCTTTCTGTGAGGAAGGAAGCCCACCGAAGTCAAGTGTCCCGAGTCCCTGGCCCTTTTACAAGAGGCAGAGTCAAGCTCCCAAGCAGCAGGGCTGCACCAGCAAGGTCCTTGGTCTTACTGTTCCTATTTTACACATAAGGCAAGTGAGGCTTGGCAAAGGAAGAGGCCTTGCCCATGATTCTGCTGTACTGGAGCATCCCACACTCGGCCCTTCTGCCCTGACTTCCACCAGCCTCTGCTCTCCATCCTTTCTTACATCACCTATAGGAAGCACTTGCAGACTGCAGCTGCCTGAATATACCAAAGCCACCAGGCCTTTGCACATGCCATGCTCTCGGCCTAGGCTACCCGTCCTAGCCCAGGTTACTGCAGTATTTCTTCACTTAGATTAAAACCTCTCCTGGAAAACTTTTGACCCCTTAGCTAGGTCAGAAGCTTGCCCCATCACTGCCCTGGTCTCTCCCCAAAATTGAAGCATATTACTTATTTGCATTCTGCTGCAATGACCTTTTACGTTCAGGACTATAATTAACCCCAACCAATAGATGACCTGACAGAACCTCAAAGACAAGTGATAATATGTGAGGCTGTACAGCCAGAGGAAAGGGAAGCAACTTTGGAGCTTGTATGTGTGCCTTTTGTAGGAAGGGCGCAGGGGTCCCTTGTTCATACCTCAGAGGGGCCACGGCCCTGCAGGAGGATCTCCCCATCGAAGCAGATCTCCAGGAGGGTGGCACCAAAGCCCCACTTGTCAGCTGCAGTACTGAGGCTGCTGTCCACACCAGACAAACACTCGGGAGCTATCCAGGGGATCCTCTCTACCCGCTCTGAGGGCGAGGGTCAGAGGTCACTGAGGAAAAAGGAAGGGGGAAAGCCCATCCCTGTGCCCAACCCTGCCTGGGTCCTCACCCTCCCTGGAGAGGGCCCCCAGGCCCACACCGGGGTCGCTCAGCTTGATGAAAGGGCTGGTGCCCTCTACCAGCCCCAAACGCGCCAGAAGAATGTTCCGGCCACACACATTTCCATGAACTAGGCTCTTGTCTTCCTGTGGGGGTCGGGGGGCGGGAGAGGAGCAGAAATGGGGTATGGTTACTGGGGGTTGGTGGACCCTGCCTGCACTCTAGTCCATGCAGGCCCACAGGAAAAGCCCATGTGAAAAATAAAACTGTGGTCATTTTGGGGCACCCAATATACTGTCATGACCGGGCAGCTCAGGTGCTAACTAGGTCCTTCCTACTCTCCCAGGGCTGGTGTTCACGGCTCTTGCTTAGGGACAGAGGCCAGAGGACCCCAGAGCTACCCTCAAACCCTCGCCAGGCAGCTACTCCCCTAGGGCCCTTGGACTAGCTGTTGCATGTCTGGAATGCATTTCCCCCAGAGGCCCTTTGGTTCCCTCCTTCACCTCCAGGTAACTTAAAGAGTCCTTCTCAACCTGCCAATTTCAACTTCACCTCTTCCCCAAAATTCAGTAACCCCTATCTCCATCCCCACTTTTTTCCATAGTTCTTACTATTTTTTAACATATTATTATAGAAATATAATTTCTTGTTTGTCCCTCCTAACTAAAAGGCCAGCACCTTGAGGACAGCCTTTTGTCTGTTTTGTGTTCTCTCTGTCCCCAGGCCTAAGACACAGCCTAGTACATAGAGGGTGCCCAGTAATTCCTGAATGAAGGGGGAGTTCTAGAAAGTAGGGTGATTGGACCACATGGGACTGGCGATGAAAGGCAACAAATGACATAGGTGGCTGAGGCCAGGCCCCACATGTCCCAGGCAGACGAGTTGGGTGTTCTCTTGGGGGGAGATGGGAGCCACAGGGTTATGTGAGCAGAGCAGGTTCATGGACAGAGCTTCTGGGGCCTGAGGGATGTGAGCACCCTCCCCCCAGGCTACGCACCAGGTAGCTGAGGGCACTGGCCAGCTGCTGGGCTACCACCACCTTCCAGGCCACAGGCACATGGCCCCTTTCCCGCCGCAGGCAGACATCCAAGGGCCCGTGTTCCACATACTCAGTCACCATGATGTCTGTAAAGGGCCAGACACTATAGGGGTCACCCACCTGCCTCTACCCTCCAGGGTGGGAAGGGTAGAGAAGTTGGGATTGTGGGAAGGAAGGTTTGTAGAGGGGGAGCTTGGAGTGGTTCTGGGGAAATAAATGCTGGCTGAGGTGGGTACAGAGTAAGGCAGAGGTCGAGGATGGACTGGGGCACAGAGGAGACTGACATGTAAGGGACAAAGGTGCAGATGGAACTGGGGAAATGGGGGAGGAAGCACACAAGAACTCCAGGTTGAGGCATCAGGATCCCACAGGGTTGGGGTACTTGTAGGAGGAAGATATGCAGGGTTCAGGGTTTAGACCATTTTGGGGGGAGAGACGGAAAGGTGGGTCTGAGGTCAGCAGGTCTGGGGGCTGGCTAGGGTTGCCCTATACCAGAGTTTTGAGGTACATATGGAGTAGGCGTTGAGGTCTGGGACGGTTAGGGTACCCAGCAGGGCACAGGGGTCCTAGTACTGATGAGGTCAGAGGGTACATAGGGGCTGTGCTGTAGAGGTGTTTGAGTAGTAGGTAGACCTTAGGATGCAGTTGGGAGTCAGAGTGTAGGTTGAGGTTTAGGTTGTAACAAGGGATATTGGGGTACAGGTAAGAGTCAAAGGCAGGGTGAGAATGCAAAGTGAGGGTTGGCATATAGTTAGGGGTCAGGGTATGCGTTGAAGGTCAAGGTACAGCCAGGGGTTGGGATATAGGTGAGAGTTGAGTACTCACAGATAGGAATATAGTCAGGGATCAAGGTCAGTATGCAGGACTTAGGTTGAGGGTGTAGAGGGGGAGCTTGGAGTGGTTCTGGGGAAGTAAATGCCAACTCTTGGCACTGGACACCTGGGATATGTGGCAGAGGTGGGGAGGTGAGCAGGGGTCCAGGCAGGGAGTATAGCCAGCCCCAACCCAGGACCCATGCCCGAGCCCACCTGGTCACGCTGGGCCACCGTGAGGTCAGGACTTAGGTTGAGGGTCAGGGTAGGGGCCAAAGAGTAGATATATAAGTGGTTCATGGGTAGGTGTGACAGCGCCTACTCACTCTCTGAGCCATGCACACAGACGCCATGTACAAAGGCCAGGTGTACATGGGAGACCTGGCTCATGAGGCTGGCAGTCTCATAGAAGGCCTGTGGGGATGGGACAAGTCAGAGGAGGGCATAGACGCTGACCCCCTCACCCCACCCTCTGCTCCTGGCTGTGCTCACTCACCAGGGCAATGTTGTGGTGGCTGGGGTCCAGCACCTTGAGTACCACTCGCAGGTCCTGCCCAGGGCCCCCATCATCTGCCTTGTCCTCCTCGGGGCCTCTGTCTGTGACTAGTAAGAGGCCCTCATACACATTGGTCCTGGTTCCCTGGCCCAAGTGGGATAGCTGGTAGAATGTGGCACAGAACATTTCCATTGACAACAGCTCTTGGCTGCCCCTCCCAGTGTCCCCAGACCCTTGGAGGTCCCCATTTGCACACACCCGGGTGATCTTGTCCCAGCTGACTCGGTGGAAGCTGAGATGGCTGAGGTTGGGTGGCCTGGTGCTGGCGCAAGACCCCCGCAGGATAACAAGATTGGAGAACTCTGGGGGTAGGAACAAGGTCATCGAGGGTTGGTGGGGGTGGGGAGATGTTATTCCCACGCTCCCTGTGACCCCCCCATCATCATACCTCCTGGCTGTGGCAGACAGCAGCGGTGCAGGGAGAAGCAGTCTTGGCCAGACCGCAGTGAACAGCCCTGCAGGGCAGCCCGCAGATCCCGCACACTGGGGAAGGACCGGTCCCAGCCCTCCAGTGTAAAGGCCCCAGCCTGCAGCTCAATGGGGAACTTGCGTAGGCGCCAACTCTTGGCACTGGACGCCTGGGGTATGTGGCAGAGGTGGGGAGGTGAGCAGGGGTCCAGGCAGGGAGTATAGCCAGCCCTAACCCAGGACCCCCACCCCGAGCCCACCTGGTCATGCTGGGCCACCGTGAGGATAAGGCGGTTGAAGTGGGTGGTGCTCCAGTGGATGAGGTAGAGGCCATCCTCCGGGCGCAGCTTGGCTAGCACAAATGGCTCCCTGAGGGAGACAAGGTCAGCACCATCAGAGCACTGGGGCGTTGCTGGGCCCATGCTGGGCAATTGGGACACATAAACCTGCCCGAAGGGGCGCACTCCCAGCTGGGACAGATGTCCACACAGTAATGACTCTGAGTCTGGACAGAGACACACAGAAATATAAGACTGTCACATACCCAAAAAACACAGAGACGCAGGGACAAGAACAGGTACATGCTCATGTGTGACAACTGCTAGACACAGCCGCCAGCATGACGACACATGGACAGGAGCCAGCCATGAGATGCTGGATGGCTGCACTCCCAGTCACATGCACGGCTGCTCCCAGGCACGGTGCACAGTGGGCAGTCCACCACACACCCAGCGAGCAGTGACCATGGACACAGCCGCTTACCCACTGCCATGAGGTAGCACAGGGGCTGATCACAGACTGGAGGTGACAACCATCAGCACAGACATGCTGCAAGGTGACAAAGTCACAGGCCCAGACAGCTACATACATGGTGGCTCATATGCTGCTACAGACTGAATGTCTGTTGCCCTGAAAGTCACATGCTGATACCTAACTCTTTTGTGATGGTCTCAGGAGGGGGGTTAGCAGTAATCAGGTCAAGACAGTGGAACCCATACAAGTGGGATTAGCACCCTTATAAAGAGACCCCTCAGAGCTCTTTTGCTGCTTTTGCCATGTGAGGTCACAGGGAGATGCCATCTGTGAAATAGGAAGCAGGCCCTCAACTGACACCAAATGCTGGTCTATTGCCAGCATCTTGAACTTGGGACTTCCCATCTCCAGAAGTGTGAGCCCGACTGTTGTTCCTAACCCTCAAGTCTACAGTATTCTGTGATAGCAGCTGGGACCCCATACAGGTGGCACACATTACAGGTGACCCCATACAGGTGACACAGCACAGCCACAGCCCTTGCAAGGGGAATGGCCACATTGCCCCACTCTGGGGGAGAGACTAGGCTCAGAGCTCAGACACCTCAGGGATACCCATGGTCCATCCCAATGTCACAGGTATGACAAGGGCCACCAGGGCACAGGACCAATGATCAGACAAACTGACAGTCACAAACCCTGGCCTGCTGGCTGGAGGATGGCCACGTGCACATCCGACAGCCACAGAAGCGCTGACGCCTAACACTCTCGGCCTCGGAAGTGGAAACAGAATTGCTCAGGGACCTAAAATTACCAGGACACACATACCCCTGCAGGGATGTAAGCACCGACAAAGACAACTGAATGGCCACCAGTGTGTATGTAACACATAGCCCCACAAAAAAACACCTGAGGGTCACATAGGAAAACATGTCATGACAATCTAGAATGGTCACCAGAGCACAGACACAGCTACACGTCACACAGACTGCTAAACATCCAGGCATGCGCAGTGATGATCCCAAGCCCACGCAGGCTCACCATGACTCACCATCCATCCCACCGCAGGTCCCTCCCCTCTCCTTAGTCTGTGGTAAGCACACTTGCTCACATGAACATATACAGGCAGTGGAGCTTCAACACATGCACACACATAAACACACATGAATTCACACACACACACACACACACACACACGACAGATGCCTGCAAAATGTGGTATGAGTGAACACCCCCCAAACACATGCACATACACATAAGCAAAGAGGCTCACACTCACGCATTCACACCACACTGTGTACATACATGAGCTCACACATGCACACACACACCTGCCCATGCTTTACACAGGCACATTACGACTTGGGTGCCTGCACACACCTGTGTATTCACACACAGAGGTGAACACCAAGACATAATATGTACACACGGGTGAACATGCATGCACACACATATATTTCACGTGTACTAAGACAGAATGCATACACCTTGCTCAAGCCCCACTATCCCTCAAGAATTCAAAGTCTAGTTGGCAGCTGCTGCCCCCACCACCCTAACCACCTGCCTGCCCCCCAGGCACTCACAGCAGGGGTCCGTGGATACCCTCCTGGATGCTCATCACAAGCCGCGGGGGAGCCACTTCATGGCACAGATAATGGCTTGAGTCAGATGTCAGGCGGAAATAGCCATCTAGCAGCGACACTAAGGACAGGGCAGCAGCCCGGGAAGGCAGGGCCAACTCCTGAGGGTCAGAGGGATGTCAGGCAGGCATCACTGGCAAAGGCACCCCTCAGTCAGGTCCCGAGCCCTGGGGTCCCACCAAGAACTTGTCCTGGCAGCGGATGCTGACGTGGCACTCTTTCAGCACCATGTGGGTGATGTCTCGGAAGTCACAGAAGTAGGTCCACTGTGCCTCCCGTGGCTTGTCTGCTGGCTGGTTGCTCCCCTCATGCGCCTTAGCTTTCTTTCCAGCTGGGCCAGCAGGGCGATTCCTGACACTGCTGCTGGGACCCTGGAAACCCAGCACATGGAGCAGGTAGCTGGAGCAGGGCTATACCTGCTCCATATTCCCCTAGGGACAGGCAGCAACTGGAGGGGGCCAGATAGCTCCCTTGTGCATCCCCCTAAGTGCTGGTATTACAGACAGAACAGGGGACCCACCCCCAAGGGATACACAAGTCAGAACCTAGGTGAGGACAGAGAAGAGAATCCTAACTCTCTCATGCCCAGATGCTAGAAAATGGGTTCTCAGAGGTGCAGATCCCAGAAATCAGATTCCCAGGTGGAAGACCCCAACAAACAGATGCCAGAGGATGGACGGACACATCCCAGAGCCATGTAGATAAAGGGCTTACCATGGCCACCCTCAGAGGCCAAGGCCAACATTGAGCAGGAGCCCTCTATCCTCACCCTACCTGGACCCTTAGATGGAAGCTCACCACTGCTAGTAATGGCCGCCACTGGATGCCGCCAGTGCCGGTCACTAGCACCTCATGGGTGGGGGGTCTGGCAGCGGATGCTGGTGTGGGCTCTAGAAGGGCCTGCCCACTGTCCCGAATGTAGCAGGGTGCTCCTGCAGTCTGGGTCAGCAGCTCCAACTGGTACACTGGCATGCGCTCTGTGCCGAAGCGGGGTGCCAAGCACTCGAGAGTGGCCAGGTACTTGACCATGACGACCTGCTGGGAGAGGCGGCCTGGCTGGAAGTCCCGCAGGAACCGGTGGAAGATGGTCCGCAGGCGCAGCCTTGTCAACACATCGTGCTGCCGGATCTGCCGACGGAAGGAACGTGGGATGCAATCCTTGAAACTGTGGGGACCAGGAGGGATTGTCAGGGGACTGGTAGGTCTGGCTCAGTGGCAGTGGCTTGACCTCTCTGAACCTCTGCTTCCTTATCTAAAAAACAGGCTCTTGTGGGGCCTCCCTGGTGGTACAAGGGGTTAAGCACAGCACTGTGAAGCAATCTGCAGGCAGGGAGCTACGCACATGGCGCAGCAGACATCTCCTGCCTCACCTGCTGCTCCCCTCAGCAGTGTATTTCAGTCAGTCTGCCTGTTCTGCTCCCCACTCTGTCTCTGGTGAATCCACTCACCACCACCCCCACATCTCTGGCTTATACCCCAGCTCTTGTATACATAAATAAATAAATCTTTAAAAAAAAGGCTCTTGTGAAGGTGGAGAGAAGATGGTAAAGGGCCAGGAGAGGAAAGCCAGGTGGTATCGGGTCCCAGGCATGGACCTCTGGAGACTACTGGGCTAAAATTCTAGCTTTGGGCAACTTCTTTATAGTCTAAAGAGTTATCCTCTGTAAAATGAAATCAAACAGCAGCCACCCATGGGGTTTAGAAGAGAATCATGACTACTGACTGGCATGTAACAAGTACTACTAGTGTCAGGCATTATTATTATGGGAGAAGTCATTTTGCTTTTCTTTTTTTGCATAGAAGAACTGGGGTGTAGGCCAGAGGTGCTGGCGGTGGGAGGAGAAGTTTGAGAGGATTCACCAGAGACAGAGTGGGGAGTAGAATAGACGGATCTACCAAAATACACTGTTGAGGGGAGCACTGGGCAAGACAGGAGAGGTCTGCTGCACTATATGTGGGTTAGTTCCCTGGCTGGGGATTGAACTTAGGCCATAGGGGTGATAGCGCTGAGACTTTACCTCCAGGCCACCAGGGAGGCCAACTCATTTTGCTTTTATCATTAACATTATTATTAGCAATATAAGGCACAGATCTGGGAGGTCCCTCTGTTGATCACAAAGTCCCATCCGCTATCCAATTGCCCTCCATCACCTGCCTTGCACGTGACAACCTAGATTATAATTTTACAAGTCCAGGTCTCTGCATCCCACCCTGGACCAGACGGATCCTAAAGCTAGAGGTCCTAGCAGCCCCCTGTGCCCACTCGCCCAGTCAATTCCTATACTTGGGCAATTACATTCCAAGTTCAGTTCCTCTTGAAACCAGTCTTTGCCACCTTCTCCCTCTGGACCTTTTTATAAGCTGTTTCCTAGGCCTAGAATGTTTTGCCACTGCAAAATCTGTATGTAGATAAAGTTGACTCAACCTTAAAGTCTTAGCAGAAATGCCTCTGATTTCTAGGCTAGATAGGATAACTCCTCTGGGCTTCCCAGTTTCCTGGGCTTCATTGTCACAGCCTCAGTTCTCTAGAGTGACAAAAACAGTTAGAAATATGTACTTTAGGGCCTCCCTGGTGGCGCTAGGGGTTAAGATGCAACCTATGAAGCTCACCACAGTCACTACAGTGCAAGTTCGATCCCCAGCCAAGGAGCAACCCACATGGCGCAGCAGACCTCTCCTGACTCGCCTGCTGCTCCCCTCAGCAGTGTATTTCAGTCAGTCTGCCTGTTCTGTTCCCTGCTCTGTCTCTGGTGAATCCTCTCACCCCCCAAAACTCTGGCCTGTACCCCAGTTCTTGTATGCATGAATAAATAAATCTTTAAAAAAAAAAAGAAATATGGGCTTTAGGGGGCTCCCTAGTGGTGTAAAGGGTTAAGACGCAGCACTATGAGGCTGTCCGCAGCCACTGCAGCAAGAGTTCGCTCCCCGGCAAGGGAGGTGACCCACATGGCACAGCAGGCCTCTCCTGACTAGCCAGCTGCTCCCCTCAGAAGTGTATTTAGATCAGTCTGCCTGTTCTGTTCCCTACTCTATCTCTAGTGAATCCTCTCACAACCCACCACCCCTGACACCTCTGGCCTGTGCCCCAGTTCTTGTATGCATAAATAAATAAATCTTTAATTAAAAAAAAAGAAAAAAGAAAAATGTGCTTTAAGAACAAACTCTATCCTGAAAAATACAGCCCTTTTGCTACCTCCTCCAGGCAGTGAGGGCTACTCCAGCAGGAGCAGGCACCCATGGGGCTTAAAAGAGAATCATGACTACTGACTGGAGGAGCAGCCCTCACTGCAGTAGAGGTGAGCATAACTGGCTGCCAACAACCTGACTCCTGAATTCTTCCTTCTTTTGAATTTGAAGGAGTTCTCCAAGCCAATGGGCTTTGAGGAGCTGCTTAGTCTCCACCACTCTGTTTTAACCTTTTCCCCTATCACCTCTGGCTCACTCTGCTCCAGCCATACTTTCCCAGAATTCAGGAATAGTCCAGCCTCAGATCTTTTGCACCAACTGTTTCCTCTTTATAAAATGCTCTTCTCCCAGATATCCACATGGCTCCCTCCTTCACATCTTTGAATTTGAATGTCACCTTCTCAATCAGCAGCTAACTCCTCAACTACCCAGTTTTAAATTGTACAGCCCTCAATCCCTGATGCTTCCTTTTTTGCTGCTTAACTTACCCCCACTCGTCATCATTTAAATTTTCCTTTTGTATTTTGTTTATTGCCTGTCTCCACTAGACATGAGCTTCAAGAGGGTGGGCGTTTTCGTGTGACTTGTTCACTGTTGGGTCTTCAACATCCAGAACTAATGCCAGGATACAGTAAGTGCTCAAAAAATGTTTGGTGAAGGCAAAGGAGCATGCAAGGTCTACCTTGGTCCCCAGGGGATTTCTACTTATCTATGGAGTAGCCCTGCTTCATTCCCAGACACCTGATCTTCTTCGCCACTTCCTCCAGGGGGACACCGCGGCAGAGAGCAAGGTGGCAGAGATGCAGAAAAGCCATGCCCAAACTCTCATTCTTAAAGTGGTGGATCTCCTCCTCATTCCACAGCTCCTCCAACGATGCCACGTCATTCACAAACTCATACTTGCCCTGGGAAGGAGGAATTGGATAAAAAGAGAGGTACAAGAATCTGCTCACTTCCCAGATTCTGGCCACATTGGGCAGGTGAGGATCCCTACATTCTGGAAAGGCCAAGTAGACAGCATGCATGCCTCCTCTGCCAAACCTATGACTATGGCAGACATGATTAATCAATCATGGCACTCTTTCCCATGTAACCCTAAGAATATTAGAACTTTTGGTTCAGGTACCCAAAGGAGACCACATGACACAAGTTGAAACCTATTGGCTATACTGAATTGAGGAGAGAAGTTGGGGCTCCTGAAATGCCACTAAGCCCTCTAAAAATAATCCTTCCTTCTCAGCCCTGTTTATACCTGCTCAAAGAGATACTCAAAGGAGGCTGGGTCCAGGAGCTGCACCCCCTGCTCTGCCCGTCCTGAGGAAACCTCAGTCCCTGGGGGCCCACAACGGTATACAGTCGGCTCCTGAGGATTCATGCCATGCCAGTTCCGGAAATAAAACCTGCAGGAAGGGGACCAGGCACAGCTGGGGCTTGGCATGGACTCAGACCAACTCCAGAACAACAGGGAAGGAAAGGTGGCAGAGAGGGGACCAGCACTAAAGGGGACAAACCTTCCAAGGGTCCTTCACCTACCTCATACGGAAGTACAACATTAGGCTCCTGTCTCTACAGGCCTGCAGTATGTGGTTTGGGGGTAACCAGACTTGGGCCTGGGCATCAAAGAGGGCGAAGAGATTAAAGCAGGGTGGAGTGATGCCTGGACAGAGGAGAAACTGAGTCAGTAGTTTGTATCTGCTGCCATTCACCCTGTGGACCCCCAAAGCCCTCTGGTGCTCCTTCCTTGCTAACAGAAGACAATACAATATATGTAGTCTTTATAGGAAGACTACATTTCCCAGCCTGGGGCCACTGGACTGGTTTCTGGCCAACAGAATATTGGCAAAATGGATGTGCATTTTTCCTGGCCTAGAAATAAATCCTCTTACCATCTTTCTTGTCTGAGAATTATTGGAGGCCCCTTGTGGCAGTAGCAAAGCTACAAGATAGTAGTGAACCACTAGACCTGCATTAAAGTTCAGGTAAACCTTGATTGTTAACGTAAGAAAATTTTAGGAGGTGCTTGTTACAACAGCAAAACCTACTCTAGACTAACACAATTCTACAAAGTGCTGGCCTTTTGTCTAATTTCTCCCTGAGTTCCAGATCTAAAGAAATATTCAACAGGCCCCTTCATATGCCTCATTCCAAGCAGATCCCTGGACCTGTCTCTCTTCTACTCTATTCTTTAGGCCAGAAACTTGGCCTTTGTCATTAACTCCTCCCACCCCCTCCACATCAGATTGGTCAGCATGTTTTTCTGCATCTTCTGCATCTCTGGGATCTATCCACTTTTTTCAAACCTAAAACCCAGCCCTAGTCCAGCCTCAAGATTGATTGCCATTCCCCATAATGGCCACCAAAGGAATTCTTTTTATATACATCATTTTAAAATGTTATCTAAAATAGTCAATTCAGAATAATTTATAATCATCAAAATATCAGCCACCAAATAAAGAAATGAAACTGGGTATGTACAATTGAATCCACTGCCTACAATGGCCTACTTTCACCTCCCACAAAAAAGTAACAGCACACTCCTGAACTGGTGTTTATCATTTTCATATCCTCTATGATCTAATCTTGAATATTTTAACTCTAAATGCAGTGTTATATTATAGGTGTCCTTCCGCAACTTGCTTTTTTCAGACTACAATAGGTTTTAAAGCTTCTTGCTCTGATGATGTGTAATTTCAATTTCTTTTTTTCAGCTATATAGTATTCCAATGCTAAACCACACTGCAACTTATTTGCACACTGTTTTGTAGAGGGACTTTGAGATAGTCTCCTACTTCTCTTTAAGAAAAGTGAGGCTGCTTTGAATATTTTCATACATACATCTTCTGGAACACCTGAGCTATATACAGATGGTCTCCAACTTAAAATGGTTCCACGTATAAGTTTTCCACTTTATAATCTTTTCGTGTGATGCTGGGCAGTGACTGAGAGTCACAGCTCCTAATCAGTCATATGGTCATGAGGGGAGATACCTATATAGTGCACCTATATAGTACCTATATAGTACCTATAGGGGGTATTTTATTTTGTGTTTTACAAATGCCTGCCTGTATCTGAGATATTCAACACTTTATTGTATAACAGGCTTTCTGGTAAGATGGTTCTACTCAACTGCAGGCTAAAATAAGTATTCTGAGCAGATTTAAGGTAGACTAGGTTAACTAAGCCATAGTGTTCAGTTAGTTACTCGCATTTTTTACTTAAAATATTTTCAATTTACAATGGATTTATTCCTCAACCATAAATTGAGGAAAATCTCTATCTGTAGGATGGATATCTAGGGGTGGAATTGTAGGGCTTCCAGGAATGTAAGTTTCAGCTGTGTTAGATGATGACAAATTTTTCTCCAAACTCAACACTGTCTCCCACAGAAGGAGAAAGCCTCCCTGTAAGACAACTTCCTAAACAACCAATCTGACTGTTTCCATCTCTGGCTTAAACCTTCCATGGCTTCCCATTGACCCCCTGAGAAAGTCCAACACCCTCAACACAGCCAGTTATGCTGATTTTTTGGGTTTGTTTTTTTTTTCATTTCTATTTCTTCTTCCATACTCTTGTAGTCACTATTAAGAACTTTTGCTTCCTCAAATAGATCCAGTTCTTTGTTCCCTCTGCGGGACATGTGTCACATCACCCAGCATACCCATATGAGTTTTTTTTAAGAATCCATCACTGATTTTACAGAAGAGGTTGTAGAATGCACCCAAAGGCCCCCATGCAATTGTGAGGAAGGAGACTGGAGAGGACTTCTGGAAGAAGGGGCACGTAAGTGAAGTCGCCTTGAGGAGCCCTCCTCCTCCGGCAGAAGAAATTTACTTCACAGCACATTAACTTTGGGCTCTCGCAGCCATTCCACAGTTCTCTACTTTGCTCAGGAGAAGTCTAAATTCTGAACTCTTCCTTCTGGCATTTAAGGTATTCTAAGATCTGGCCCTCAGTGATCTCTTCCCCACTGTGCCCCAACTGAAGGGTACCTCTACCCTGTTCGCACCTTATTCACCACAGTCTGTTGTCCCACAGCAGCCAGAGATACCTGAGTCTAGTCATGTCCTTCCTCTGCTCACAGTCTTCTGTGGCTCCCACCCACTTGGAGTAAAATCCAAAGACCTCCCTGAGGTGCACAGGTCCTGCATGACTCATACCGTTACCTCCTGCTCCATCTCTGCCCTGTGTCTCCTCTCCCCTTCATTCCTTCTGCTCCAGTCACTGGCCTCCTCAATATTACTGGATAATTCCCAGCTTAGGGCCTTTGCACTTGCCGTTCCCTCTTACTGGTACCATCTTCCCCCATATATCCCTATGGCTCCCCCTTCTCTCAAGTTTTTCATTTTTCTCCATCATTTATCTCCATCCTCCTACAGAGTTTTCTTATTTATTATGTTTCTGGCTGATTTCCCAATGAGAAAATTAGCTCAACAAAGGGAGCAATTTGAGGACAGCACACAGTAGGTGTTCAGTCAGTGTTTGCTAAGTGAATGGCAGAGGGTGGATGAATGGATGGATGGGGCTCAGTGGCTGACAGCACCTCCAACCCCACCAATGGACTCACCAACTTTGTGTGCGATGTGGATGCAAATCTCCTCTGCTGTCAGGGTGTCCTCGGTGAAGATGACCCAGGGGTCACCACCTCCAGGGCCGGCCCAGTGCAGAAGCACTTTCAGGCCTCCTCTGGTGGTGGCCAGGGGCTGAGCTCCATCCCTGTCCAGTTTGCTGGCCTTGCTGATGGCACCCCACTGGCACAGAGGCATGCTCTTGTCAGCTGGCTTGGCTGGGAAGGGACAGCCCATGCATGAGTCCCCAGGTTGCCACCTGGAGGCCCCATTCAGCACCGTAACCCTCCACCTGTCCAGAGGCCTGAGAAGATTCTGGATGCCTCTCGATTTGCAATGTTAGACATCCAATACCCCTTGCTGAGCCTCAATTTCCACATCTGTTTGATGGAGTTAGGGTATGTATCTTCATTATTAGATCTGTTATATTTACAACACTGAACCCCTTTATTGGACAAATTGGCACCAAAATAAGTCTGCTCTGAATGCACCTTCCCAAAATAATCAGGCAGAAAGGTACCTGGGGACAGATCCTGTCACCGGTGTCAACCCAGGCAAGTCACTTAGCCATGCTGAGCCTGTTTCCCCACTTGGAAAAAGGGGATGCTGAGGGTATTGCTGTTGAAAGATGGTCGGAATGTTTCAAGAAAGCTCTGCATGTCGCAGTTTAGGCACAGATCTTGATACAGGCATGAAAAAAAAATTATAAGAACAAGAATAAAATCATTATAATTGGTTTCATAATCCTGATCATCTTTCTCCTTTAGACTAAAATACCCACCTCCCACATCCCTAACTCTGCTGAACCCCCAGTCTAGGAAGGATTGTGTTCAGCTCTTTCTCCCCAGTCTAGCTCCAGGACTTTTCAAAAGCCAAGTCCCCAGCTCAGACCTTCAGAGGTCTCCAATGTCTCCCGGGAGGGCTGCCAGAGACTCCGAGAGGTTACTAATTTAAAACAGAGAGAAGAAAAGGGGAGTGTTGTAATCGCACACTGGAGATTCCTCAGGAATCAGTTCCTCTAAGTCTGCTCCTCATCTGGAAAATGGGGATTTAACAATCTCTCCCTTAAAACGTACATTGGGAGGATTCAATGATATGAGAGAGGAAAAGGACCCGGGCAAGGCCTGGCACACAAGCGTTTGGAAAGTATTCGCTATTATTATCTATTAATGTTTGAGATAACAGTATCGCAGTGCGTCTTTGGGTGCCCATCTCTTCCTTCCTCGTCCCCACTGGGGCCAGACCCAGCTCTGAAAATGGGGTCTGGGTAAGTCTGCACACAAGGAAACACACACACACATCACCCACACCACACCACACACAAACCCCCGCACCCACCCAACATGCCAAAGCCGCCGGGCAGCTGCAGGAGCCGCGGTGTGCACCTACGGGGTACAGACCCGTCCCGAGGCAGCGGGTGATTCCATCCACCTTCTGCGAAGCGCTGCTACTCTGGGCGCCTCCAGCCGGCCCCACCTTTCCGGGGGACCTCCCGGCCGTGCCCCTTCCGCTCCGGACTCACGCTTTCTGCGGGACTACCACCCCAAGTTCGGACCCAAGTCCCGGCCCGCGGAGCAGCGGCCGAGCAGTCGCGCGGGGACACGGCTCTGCCCAGGAGGCCGCCTGAAACGCGGCCCGTGGTCGCCTCCCCGCGGGTCGAACGTGGCCATTGGTCCTTTCTCAGCAAGGTGCCTCCCCTGTTGGTCCCGGGTGGCGCTCGCTGCGCAGCCGCGGTTGGCTGAGTCGGCTCCCGGATGCGCCCCAGGAGCAGCGATTGGCTGCTGGGAGCCGGGCGGAGACGCGGGAGACGCGGTTCCCCCGCCGGCGCGAGAAGGGGGTCTCCTGGCGCGGCGCCGCTTAAAGTCACCGACGCTCGCTGGCCGTGGGCCGAGCCAGGCTTCGGGAGCTGACGCAGGAGCACAGCCCCAGGTTCTCACCCCTACCGTGCGACCCCCCTATTCCATCCTGCCACTCTTGTCTCGCTTCTCCCTGGCCAACTCCACTTGTCCGGCTGAGCCCCACCTCCCCACCCCCCAACTTCTCTGCTGCGGGCGGCATTGCCAGCCTGCTCAAGTCTATTTCCTGATCTCTGCAGCTCTGTCCTCAGAGGCCCCCTTACTGTCAGTGTCGCAGCTTGGACGTTCCACCTGATCTGAGTTTTAATCCCCACACACTAAGTTGCTGCCTTTTGTATAGAGGGCTATGTACTGAAAGTTTTACATGCATTATCTCATTTGACACTCTTATACCCATGTCTCAAAGAAAGTTTCCCAGTGAAAGAGAGAGACACAGAGAGGTGACAAATCCTCTCCTTCACGAAACTGTAGTCCTTAAGCCCTCTTCTCTATTAGGCCTCAGCTTTGACCAGGGAGGGTCCTGTCTTTGCCCAGTCACATCATCGTGAGGGGAGATAACGATACAGTATATTGAGAGTGGTTTGTGGGCATTTTATTTTGTGTTTCACAAGTGCCTGTGTCTGAGATATTCAACCCTTGATTATAAATCAGGCTTTGTGTTAGATGGTTTTGCTCAACTGTAGGCTAATGTAAGTGTTCTGAGCACATTTAAGGTAGACTAGTAATTTCTCATCATGGACCCCTCCTCTCTGCTCTTTTATTTTCCGTCTGTCTTTGCTGTATTCAGAGTTGAAACAGTTTTCTCTCCCCTGTTGGAGTCCCCTTGTTGCAATAGTTCTAAATAAAGTTTTCCTTACCATTTTAACAAGTGTCAGAAAAATTTTTTCTTTAACAAAGTTTGGGTAATTTTCTCAGATGACAAACACAAAGTACCTAAAAGAGCTAGGTTTATTTGTGGGGTTGGAGCTGTTAGCCAAAGACCTAGCGGTGTCCTAGGACCCCCAAACTTGCATGCTTTAAAGGGTTTCTGCAATCTGCTGCAAAAAGACAAAGCATACTCCCAGAGTGAAATGTCTTTAATACAATAGAATTGGTGGACATAAAGAGCGAAGAGAAGAAAGGTAATAGTTTCCCAACAAAACACTCAAAGTCGGGCCTCCCCGGTGGCGCAGCGGTTGAGAGCTGGGTTGCGAAGCTGCCCGCGGCGTCTGCGGTGCCGGTTGGATCCCCGGCTGCTGCTCCCCGGCCACCGGAGGAGGATCCCACATGGCGCGCAGACCTCTCCTGCCGCCCGCTGCTCCCCTCAGCAGTGTACTTCGGTCCTTCTGCCTACTCTGCTCCCCGCTCTGGCTCTGGTGAATTCTCTCACCCTCCCGCGCTTCTGACTGTACCCAGTGCTTGTATAAATAAAACAAACAAACAAATAAATAAATAAATAAAACATGCCTCTATTTAAAAAAAAAAAACAAAACCAAAACACTCAAAGTCCCCATCTCCATGATGGGGTCTGCAAGGAGTGAAGTGGGACCACTGAGCCCTGAAAGCTTGCCACAAGTCTAAGGCATCTTCTGGTGGGGAACTATAGGAAACAGGCAAAAGGGACCAGGCAAGCCTGGAATGAAAGGAATAAAATCAAAGTACAAATCAAGATAACAACTGCCATGATCATGAGACAGGGCAAGCTAGGGTTATTAGGCAGTTTTAGGGACAGTGCAGGAGGGGACCTCTGAAGAATTTAGGGAGGCTTCAGAGATAAGGACAAGCAAGGAAATGAAACCAATTCCACTGGGAAAAACAAACATCCTAGCATCACAGATAATCTTGTTAAGGATGGTCCTGGTTTTCTTCAGATGATAAGGTAAAGTGTAAAGATGCTCACCGGGAGGGCTAGACCATAAAGATAAAGATGTAACAAATGGAGAAAGACAGACCTGTTAGATAAGGAATGTGAAAATCCCCCACTCAGTAGCAAATTAAGTGAGACAGCCCAAAACTGACCAATCACAAAGAGACTGGTAGAGCTTTAGAATAATCAGGGGAAAAAAGTATATATTCCCTGAGACACAACTCCACTTTGGCTTCCTTGCCCCTCCCAGGCCTGGGACCTGCCTCTTCTCGCTTGCTTGCCTGAGCGTCTGCGAAGTTCCTGCTGTGGCTTCGTGAGACACCAACCCGTGCGGATCTAGTGGCTGGGGCTCAGCGCTGCCCTGCAGCCTGGGATCTGTTCCTGGCTGGGAGACTAGGCCTGACAATTCCGGTATCATTTAGCCTCCCCATGTGTCTCTCAGCCACGTGTCTCATTCGAAGTGTCTCTACAATAGCTTTGACTCCTCATATCTCCTCTGAGTTCCCCAAGTCCCTGGTGCAATTTCAAAGCTGAGAAGCAAGTGGACCCTTTCTCGTCAAACGTCTTTCTGTTCCAAGTGTCTCCTCTCGTGTCTCCCTTTCTTGGGTGTTTTCTGTGTCTCAAGCATCCCCCTCACTGTTCAGTTCTGCCCTTTAGTTGGGAAGGGAGCTCTGAACCTCCGCACTTCATGGAGAAGCCTCCGTGGCAAAGCCATAACTGCTACGGCCATATGCAAGCAGCTTCTCCTCACTGAGAAACTATGGGGAAACACTGACTATTCCTCAGTGCAGCTATGGAGATCGACTATGAGGTTGAAGATGGAGATTTAACCTGGCATCTGGTGGGTAATGACTGAGGAAACTGGGGATGGGAATCAACATGACTCGTCCTAACAAGGGAATAGTATGCGGCGGGGCGGGGTGGGGGGCATTTAAATATAAGGCTCTGTACCAGTATGGAAAAATCACCATGGTGTCGATATATTTCATAATAAAGGAAAGGAATAAAAAGAATGTATTATATTTCCTTGAGCCTGCTCAACCCACTTATGGAAGAACTCAAGAGAATAAAGAAATATTGGTTAGCTCAGGGAGAGAGATCTTAGGGCTCCCTTGACTCCCAATTTCTCTCACACACCTCTCTTTTATCAGCAAAATCTGCCAGATTCTCACCCTTCCTATTGCAGTCCCCATCGTCACCAGCCTGAGTGACACAGCTGCTTCTGTCCTGGTTCTAGGTTCTTGTTTTGCCCCCCTACCCCAGTTTCTCATTCCTGCATGGCCCAGAGGGTGCCCGTGAACACCTGATCAGGTCTTGTCCCTCCTCTGCTCAAACCCTCCTTAGATCCCATCTCACTCAGAAGAAAGTCCAATTCTTCTCTGTGGCCACAGGCCCTGTATGACCTGCCCTGTCATATCCTTCTTGCCTCCTCCCAGTCCCCCCTCACTCACTGCTTCAGCCATAAAGGCCTCCTTGATAGTCCTAACATACCAGACTATTCCCTCTGCCTGGAGTAGACTTCTTCAAATTTTTGTATTGTTCTTCCCACACTTTACTTAGCTCTGAATCACCTCAAACACAAGCAATTAATTATTTTGACAACAAATGGTATTTTTCAGAAATAAAAGAGGAGAAGACCGATCGCATTCATGGAGAGAGACATGTACACTTCCCCCCAATTCTTGTCTCACAACCCCCTATGTAACCTCTGAGGAACCACCCCCTGTTTCCACTGGAGGAGAAAACAGTAGGAGATGCAGGGTATGTTGGGCCCTGTAATTTGTTCATTGAGGCATGTGTAAGCACTGTTTCAAGCCTCCCAACATCATTTAAATAGGGTTCTGAATATTAATGTTCATAATCTTCAAATACTAAATTGCTGTTTTGTGTACATTTCAACTTTATAAAAATATATGACACTGGGCCGCCCCGGTGGCGCAGCGGTTGAGCGCTGGGTTGCGAAGCTGCCCGCAGCCTCTGCAGCGCCGGTTCGATCCCCGGCTGCTCCCCGGCCACCAGAGGAGGGTCCCACATGGCGCGCAGACCTCTCCTGCCGCCCGCTGCTCCCCTCAGCAGTGTACTTCGGTCCTTCTGCCTGCTCTGCTCCCCGCTCTGGCTCTGGTGAATTCTCTCACCCTCCCGTGCTTCTGACTGTACCCAGTGCTTGAATAAATAAATAAATAAATAAATAAATAAATAAATAAATAAATAAATGTTAAAAAAAAAAACTTTAAAATATATATATATATATATATGACACTATACATGACCTGCCACTGCTTGATTGTTTGCTCATGACAAATTTTTTTTTTAAAGATTTGTTTACTTATTTATACAAGCACTGGGTACAGTCAGAAGCGCGGGAGGGTGAGAGAAGTCACCAGAGCCAGAGCGGGGAGCAGAGCAGGCAGAAGGACCGAAGTACACTGCTGAGGGGAGCAGCGGGCGGCAGGAGAGGTCATGCCAAATTTTTGAACTTCATCCAGTTTGATGAAAGTAGCTCTAGAACATGCTTTTTCTCTCTAGTATCATCTTCCAACTGTATAGATCGATAGCTCAAAACTTGACTGTCCATTCTCCTGTCTATGACCTTGAAGTGGTTTCCATTGTTGTTGCAAGTGTTAGAGGAATGGTGAGGAGCCACCTCCAAGCCAGTGGGTGACTCTCATAGCCAAGGTGGAGTTTCTCAGACTGAGATCCCTGCCTTTGAAAGGAGGCTGCTGGGAGCCAGGGGCAGAGCTGAGCAGCCACTTTGACCTAAAACAGAAACACAGGCGTGCTCTGTCTCTTTTCTGGCTGACTTCCAACTGCACCCTGGTCTTTGCTGGCTGATGCTATCTGTGGGTAACATACCCAGCCAATAAATTTCTTCTCCTTTTCTCTTAGCTCTCCCTTTTTTCTCACTCCCTATGCAAACAAACTCTTTATTTTAGTTTTCTCTGTGTGTTCTGCATTCTTAAGCACACCACCAACCAGGTCATCCCCAGTCCCCCGGGGTATGACCTGTTTCACAAGAAATGTTCTAGAGAACATTTGAGCTCAGGTTTTTTTGTTGTATGGTAGCCTGAACAGAAATCTTTATGAATCAAGGTGATCTAGCCTAAAGCCTGAGTGTATGGGTCAGAATTGTCAAGCATTTCAACACAAAATCCTAAGGGTCTCTTATAGTAATGTGAAGGCGCTGACTAGATCCCTGAGGTTTGGAACAAGGCAGACACAGATGAGCTTGAGAACTTTGAACCCATAAATACCTTTGTGTAATGTGTTAAAAAAAAAAAAAAAGTTCAACTAAGTACACTTAAAAGATCTTATTGACTTTACACAAGGATTCACGTATCTGGTCATACACCCTGCCTAGCAGACAGAAAGGAGCTTGGAGTTGGAGAAGAAACCAGAAAGCAGGAAGTTAAATAGGCAAAAACTGGTTACGGCAAGGTGACTTTTCTTTAGGACCTATCAGGCAGATTACCTCACTGGTTCCTTATTGACTGGCTTTGAAGGAGGGCCCTTGAATCAGTGCCCCCTCAGGGGTGCAGTTTGCTTCTGGCCCCACTGAGCTCCTCGGAGCCCTCCAGCCCAGGAACTTGGCCCTGACCTCAGTGCAGTTCTGGTCTGGGCAGGGGTTAGACTTTTACCTTTTATATCAGGCTCCAGGATATTGGAAATGGACTTGAGAATGGACGAATATGATTGGAGTTTAACCAGCACCAATCAAACAGCTGGGATTGGAGCCCTGCCCACCCCCCTTGGCAGTTATGTAAAATATGGTACAGTTTCCCATCCACCCCGTTTTGGGCAGTTATGCAAATATAGGATTGAAAAAAACCTTCCAACCTGATTGGCACTCCCATGGGTGCCAATCAACTAAAAGGACCAATCAGGTTTGAAAGGCAGGCACCCAGGAGGTTATTTAAGCCACAGCCTAATGAGCTTGGTGTAGGGGTGTGTTTATGGAGCTTGAAGAAGCAGTTGGAGAGGTAGTCAGATTCACCCAGAAGACCATTGAGCTGTAACACGGAACCCTGTTCTCTGGCACCACACCTTCACAGACCTGACCTCTGACTGCCTCTGACATCGCTTGCTGAATGACACCGTTGGCCCTGTGTTAGGTGTCCTTAAAAGATCTGGTTGCTATTGGCTTTATACCCAGCATCTCTGAGAACTATAACACTGGTCTCTGCCTCTGACACATCCGCCCCAGCTCCTGGTGCTGTTGCCTTTGGTGTTGTCTGGTCCAACTGCTGACTGCTGTGGCCACACCTCTGTTGAGAACTTCAAGATCTTCCTGACCTTCAAACCATTGCTACTGCCTCTGGCCCTGCCTCTAACTCTCTCCTTTCTCTCAACTTCTCTCCCAACTCTTTCTCTTTCCTTTGTAAATAAACCCTGTTGTACTTGAACTCTGAGCCTGAGTGGTCTTGCAATTGAGTGCACAGGTGAGAACCTGTGTATACCAACATACCTCAACATACCTCAATAAAAAATACTATTTTTTAAAAAAAGAGAAATACATTTTGTCTTCACCCCAGATTCCTGATATGGTTACTAGAACCCTTGGAACTTCCTGAGTGAAAGGGGTGGTGGGAGAATGTTTTGTTCTCTTTGGGTTTAATCACTGGTTCCTGACTCAGAGAACCTTTGTCCCTGGAATTTCCCCAGTGCCTGGTTGCCAGGGAAATCAACGCTGATTGGAGGGTTGGAACTTTCACCACAGCCCTTGACATCTGAAGAGGGGAGGGGAGAGGAATTGGAGATTGAGTCCAATTACCAACAGCCAATGATTTATTCAATTGTGCCAGCATGATGGAGCCTCCAGAACAACAGGATTCAGAGAATTTTCAAGTTGGTAGACTCCAAACTCCACAGGTACTTCTCTCTACATATTTCTGTATCTGACTTTCTTCTGTTTCCTTTATCATATCCTTTACGATAAACTGGTAAAAGTAACTATTTCTCTAAGTTTTGTCTTTATAGCAGATTAGTGAACTGGAGAAGGGGGTTGTGAGAAACACTGATTTATAGCAGATCAGTCAGAAGTTCAGGGGACAGCCTGGGAATTGTGATTGGTGTCTGAAGTGGGGAGCAGTCTTTGTTGGACTGAGTCCTTAACCTGTGAGATCTGTGCTAACTGGGAGGAACTAGTGTCAGAACATAACTGTGACAATTGTGTGGTAAAGGATCATATTGGACTTTTGGTGGTGCCCTGAATATATATATGTCCACATGCTGATTTTCTATGAGGCACACCGGAAACTAATATAATGACGTAATGCAATATTACTTCAATTTAAAAAAAATTAAACTGTAGAACACTGAGCTGCTATCCACAGAAAATTAGAGAATTGCTTGATGTGGAAAACTCACACACTGAGTGTCAGAAGCCTTGTGAGTAGAGAAAGTTTCTCCTTACTATGCATGAAATAACTTGCCACTGGGCCTCCTCAATTCTGGACCAGTAAACCCATCTGTCTCCTTCACCTGCTATATTTTTAAAAAGATTTATTTATTTATGCATATAAAAGCTAGGGTACAGGCCAGAGATGTGGGGGGTGAGAGGATTCACCAGAGACAGCGTGGGGAACAGAACAGGCAGACTGACTGAAACACACTGCTGAGAGGAGCAGCGGGTGAGTCAGGAGAGGTCTGCTTCGCCATGTGGGTTTCTCTCTGGCTGGCTGGGGATCAAACTCGTGCTGCAGAGGCTTTGGACTGCTTCATAGTGTGGTGCTTAACCCCTTGCGCCACCAGGGAGGCCCCACCTGCTGTATTTTTCATTGTGGATTTTAAAACAAATTGACATTTTATTAGAAGTTTCTTTCTTTTTTTTTTTTTTAAAGGATTTTTTTTTTTTAGAGGCATGTTTTATTTTATTTATTTATTTGTTTGTTCGTTTTGTTTATACATGCACTGGGTACAGTCAGAAGCACGGGAGGTGAGAGAATTCACCAGAGCTACAGCAGGGAGCAGAGCAGGCAGAAGGACCGAAGTACACTGCTGAGGGGAGCAGCGGGCAACAGGAGAGGACTGCGCACCATGTGGGACCCTCCTCCGGTGGCCGGGGAGCAGCCGGGGATCGAACCGGCGTCGCAGAGGCCGCGGGCAGCTTCGCAACCCAGGGCTCAACCGCTGCGCCACCAGGGAGGCCCTTACTAGAAGTTTCTTTGAGCATTGATTGTATTGCCAGACTGCCATTCTAGAATGTCCGCTCCATGAAGGAGCGGTCTGTTTGTCCCCTGTGTCGTCAATGTCTGGAGTTGTGTGACTGGCACCCAGTAGGTACAAAAAAGCTGGTAGAAAGAACGACCTGGGGAGTTGTTTAGGCCTGGCTGCTGTCCTGGCTGCCGTCCTGCCTGCTGTGGAAGGGCTGGCTGTGGCCTTCTGACCTCAGCTTCCTCTCTGCCACCAGGAGTGTGGCAGCAGGAAGCTGAAGGTGCCAGATTCTTCAACATTCAGGCTGGGTAATGTGGGGCAATCTCCACTGGGCCCAGAGACTGAACCACAACGGTTGGGACGGGCTTGGAGTCTGGTGTGTACTGTTCCAGGGGGACCAGAGGAAGTATCAGAGCAGATGAGTAATAATAGCCAACTATGGTAATAAGCCCAGCTACAATAATAATTTATAGCAGCTCACATTTTCCCAGTCTGAATACTCAGCCCAGGGACTGGGTGCTTGGAATAATCAGGCTCTTTTAAAGTGGGACCAGCATCCCACACTTGACGGCTAAAGGAAAAAAGAGGATTTGGGGCTGTTAGGAAGGTTTGTGAGCTGCCCCCAGGGCCAAGAGGCCTCCTTACTGAATTCTTCATCATAGCAAGGAGGTTCCAGGTCACCCCACCACCTTTTGGGATTTACCCAGGACTGAGGGGAATTTCCAGACAGGGAAGTTTCTTTCTTTTTTTTTTTTAAACTTTTTTTTTTTAAGATTTATTTTTTTAATTTATTTATACAAGCACTGGGTACAGTCAGAAGCGCGGGAGGGTGAGAGAATTCACCAGAGCCAGAGCGGAGAGCAAAACAGGCAGAGTGACAAAGTACACTGCTGAGGGGAGCAGCGGGCGGCAGGAGAGGTCTGCGAGCCATGTGGGACCCTCGCCAGGCGGCTGGCCAGGGAGCAAACCGGCGCTGCAGAGGCGGCGGGCAGCTTTGCAGCCCAGCGCTCAACCGCTGCACCATCAGGGAGGCCCAGGGAAGTTTCTGAGTTAAAATTGGGATAGTCTTGGGCAAACTGGGCCTGCTGCTCACCTTGCTCCAGTGGATTTTCAGGAAGAAGTAGAAATGGGGGATTTTCCAGATTCCATGAAGTTTGCAAGGAGAGGCCTCCTCAGTGCACCCACCAAACCAGGGAACAGCCAAGACCAGAGCATTAAAAACAAATTCCTTTTGTATCGTTTTGAAGGGGAAAGTCCAGGGAACAGTCAGCCCCCTCTCCAAAAGAACTATGAGGTCAGTTGGGAATTTGTCCAAGGAAGTAGGACCCTCATTGGGCATGTGTGTGAACACATGGCTTCTAGAAAACTCCCATGAGCAGTCTCAGGCAGGGCATTCGGTGCTTCTTGAGAGTGGAACAACAGGAGTTACACACATAATGGCTGGAGCCGGAAGGTCTAGGTTCATATCCCAACTCAACTGTTGTGGGATTTGGGGCTGTCCTTTAACCTCACCATGTCTCAGTTTCGTCTTCTGTAAAATGGGATTACTGGGTATGTCAGGAGCATCCAATGAGTTAAAATGAGTAAGAAGTTTAGAACAGAGTCACATGCAGTGTGAATACTATTTCATTCTCATTGAAAGATATGTGCAATCTCAGTGACCTCTCCTCTCCATATAGAGCTGCTATGTGAAATTTGCCTTATGAAATATTTCAGTTATTCCAAAAGACCAGGACATAAATAAAAATATCACCTAGACAAAAGGTGGAAACAACCCAACTGCCCATCAACAGAGGAAGGAATGAACACACTGCAGTATAGTCCTAAGGTGAGACATTATTTCAGTCAAAACCAGGGAGTTTGGGCACATGCTACAGTGTGGCGGAGACTTTCAGGGAGGACCCCCACAATTTTTTTTAAACCAAGGGTGGGCAAAATAAGTGAAAGGGTTCAAAAAATACCAACTTCCAGTTTTACAACAAATAAGTCCTAAAAATAAAACAAGTCCTGAGGATGAGCTGCACAGTGAATGATACTGTTTTGTAGAGTTGACAGTTGCTAAGAGAGTAGATCTTAAAAGTTCTCATCACAAGAAATAAAATTTTGTAACTATGTATGTGTGACAATTTTTTTTAAAATACATTTTTTTTAAAGATTTATTTGTTTATTTATTTATACAAGCACTGGGTACAGTCAGAAGCACGGGAGGGTGAGAGAATTCACCAGAGCCAGAGCGGGGAGCAGAGCAGGCAGAAGGACCGAAGTACACTGCTGAGGGGAGCAGCGGGCGGCAGGAGAGGTCTGCGCGCCAGGCGGGACCCTCCTCCGGTGGCCGGCCGGGGAGCAGCCGGGGATCGAACTGGAGCTGCAGAGGCTGCGGGCAGCTTCGCAACCCAGCGCTCAACCGCTGCGCCACTGGGGAGGCCCTGGGTGACAAATTTTAACTAGAATTGTGATCCTTTCATAATCTAAATAAATACCCAATATACATGAAGCTATGTATATATACATATATATATATTTTTGAGATATAATTAACAAAAATCATCAGTATGCCATCCACTCAGGTAGAGGACAAAATGGCGTGAACACCTTGGAGGAATTCTGCTGCCTCTCATTCCATGCTGGTCATTCCCTCCCCGGAGGGAATGCCTGTCTGGAAGTGGAGGCAATTCATTCCCATTCCCTAAATGATAAGAAAGATGGTTTTCACATAGCCACTATACATCTTGATACTCGGACACAAGAGAGAGTGGATCAAACACTCTACCTTTGTTATGTGGACATTTTAGACGGGAAGACAGCCAACAAAAAGAATGTTTCACTTATTCAAGTGAATGTATAGTGTGGCCGATGATGACACGATATGGAAAAAGCAAAACAGGGAGATAAAATGCATTTGTGATCTGGTCACCTGGGACTGCCTTTCTGGTGAGAGGGAGCTAATGTAGGGTCCCATGCAAGTCAGGGATAGGGTGGGCCAGGCAGGGGGAACAGCCAAGGCAAAAGGCCAGGGAGGGAAGCTGTTGCTGAACTTAGTGTAATTTCTGTTGGTGTGCTGGTCCCTGTAACTTGCTTGCTCTGTCTATATTTGTGTTCATGAATTTCATCCATGTGGATGTTTGCTGCTCCATCGTGGAGCCTTGTAAACATAGGTTACAATTTACTTGTCCCTTCTCCCATGGATGGACTTTCTGGTTTCAGTGTCACCAAGAATCAACCTTATCCCACCAATTTGTTCTTTTTAATGCCTCCCCCCCATTTTACTTTTTTTGTTCACACTTTTTTAACGATTTCTTTTCAAATAAGTAACTCATTTATATGGTTCCTAATTGAAAAGGCACAAAAGAGTTTTGAGGACCACGCTCCACTCTACTTTTTGGGCTTATGACTAAATTCAAAGCATACTAAGGGTTGGATGGTTCCTTGAAGTTAACTGTAGAGCAACCATAGGACCCAACAACTCCACTTGTGGGTATACATACACAGGAAAGCAGAACTCAGAGATATTTGTACATTTGCGTTCACAGCAGTATTATTCACAATAACCAAGAGATAGAAACCACTCAAGTGGTCATTGAGTGAATGAATGGATAAACCAAATATGGCCTATCCACACAACAGAATTATTATTCAGCTTTGAAAAGAAATGAAATTCTGACATGTGCTCCATTATGGATGAACCTTGAAAACATTATTCTGAATGAAATAAACTGGTCACAAAATTACAAATATTTTATGAATGAGAAGTTACATGTTTTAATGGGTACAGGATGTCTTATACTTCATGCCACTGAATCAAACACCTAAAAATGGTCAATTTCATGTTATGTACATTTTATCACAATTAAGAGAAAAATACAGGGGGGTTGGTTTTAAAATTTTTTTTTTCTTCATAGCTCTTTTTTTTTTTTTGAGATATGAATTAAGCATTGACACTTTACTCTCCCTTTTTTTTTTTTTAAAGATTTATTTATTTATTTATTTATTTATTTATTTATACAAGCACTGGGTACAGTCAGAAGCGTGGGAGGGTGAGAGAATTCACCAGAGCCAGAGCGGGGAGCAGAGCAGGCAGAAGGACCGAAGTACACTGCTGAGGGGAGCAGCGGGCGGCAGGAGAGGTCTGCGCGCCATGCGGGACCCTCCTCCAGTGGCCGGGGAGCAGCCGGGGATCGAACCGGCGCCGCAGAGGCTGCAGGCAGCTTCGCAACCCAGTGCTCAACTGCTGCACCACCGGGGAGGCCCTGGGCGGGGGGGGGGGGGGGGGGGGTTGGTTTTAATGGGTGAAGAGGATCACTAAGTTAATTATAGTGACAGAAGGTAACTGGAATTATTGTGTTCATTTGACAATCCATGCAAATATTAAGTCATTATGTTATACAGATGAAACCAGTAGTTGAAAAACCAGATAAATACTAATAAGTGGTTTTGAGCGTATGTTGGAAGATGTTAAGTGCCAGGGAGGAAGTAAGGGGCTGAGCAGATAAGGCTATTGGGTGTTGGTATCTCTTGTTTGAGGTTCTGTCCCTAACACCTAGCACCATTCCAGGTTCCCAGCAAAGGCCTCAAATATTTGTTGCCTGTGAGCAGCTGTAGATGAAGCTTCCTCCTGTGCCCATGAAGAAAGTGAATTGCATTACCCGGCTCTCAAGTCCCTGGCTTCTGATAGGTTCTGCAAACGAGGAAGACCGGAAGTAGGAGATGAACAAAGGAGAAGTATTTGTTAGCCCACTCCCTCCCTGCCTGGCCACAGTTCAGGCAGTGGCTGTTTCTCTAGCTCATACATCCTGCAGGGAGCAACTTCTCCATGGCTCCATTCTCAGCAAAGTCTGCTCCGTTGCCATGTCCCTAAGCTCTGGATGTTAACAGCTTCCCATGGCTACTAGTTCTGGGGTGCCTTACTGAATAACACCTCCCTGCCAAGATGCCCATGTCTTAAGCCCTGGAACTTATGACTATATTTTGCCACATGACCAAGGGGAAAACTAAGTGGCAGAGGGAACTGAGGATGCTAATCAACTGACTATGTTAGGGAAGTTATCCTGGTGTGTTTAAGTTAATCACAGAGGACTTATAAGCGGGGAGGGGAGGCAGAAAGAGGTCGAAATGATATTATACAACCACTCATCTTTGCCATCTTGAAGGTGGAGGAAGGGGTCTTGAGCCACCTATAGAAGGTAGAAAAGGCAAGGAAATGGAAACTGCCCAGAGCTTCCAGCAGGATTGCAACCCTAACAATGCCTTGATTTTAGCCTGGTGAGATCTGTGTCATACTTCTGACCTGCACGGCTGTACGAAAATACATCAGTGTAGAAGTTACTACGTTTGTGATAATTGGTTACAGCAGTCAAGAAAATGAATGCATTTTGTTGGTTCTCCAATCATGCTCACAGTTTGTCTAGTTAAATCCTTTTGGGGCCTCCCCATTGGCTCAGCGGGTTGAGCCAGTGCTGTGAAGCTGTCCACAGCCTCTGCAGTGAGGGTTCAATTCCTGGACGGCCAGGGAGATTCCCACATGGCGTGGCAGATCTCTCCTGTCGCGCCTGCTGCTCCCCTCAGCAGTGCTTTCGGTCTGTCTGCCTGTTCTGCTCTTCACTCTGTCTCCGGTGAATCTTCTTACCCTCTCGCGCCTCTGGCCTGCACCCCAGCTATTGTATAAATAAAAAATAAATCCTTAAAAAATAATATAAAAAAATAAAATAAACCCTTTTGAGTGAATTATTTGCAGCAAACACCCAGCAATTCCACTTCAGGGAATTTATCCTACATGTGGATGCCTGTACTTGTGGCAAAGGGTACACAAGTGTATTTCTGGAGCATTGAAGAAAGTGAATTGCATTACCCAGCTCTCAAGTCCCTGGCTTCTGATAGGTTCTGCAAACAAGGAAGACTGGAAGTTGGGGATGAACAAAGGACAAGTATTTGTTAGCCCACTCCCTCCCTGCTTGGCCACAGTTCAGGCAGTGATTGTGCTTCTCTAGCTCATACATCCTGCAGGGAGCATCTTCTTCGTGGCTCCATTCTCAGCAAAGTCTGCTCCGTTGCCATATCCCTAAGCTCTGGATGTTAGCAAGAGGTTAACAGGGGCTTACAGGGTAGAGGTTGGGGTGTTTCTGCAGCATTGCTTGTCAAAGTAGAGGTTGGCGAAACTCCAAGTGTTAATCAAAAAGGGTTGGTGAATAAATGCTGATTCTTCTGTGGCTTTCTATGCAGAGAATGAGGAAGTACTAATGAACTGATAAGAATCTATAGCCACATTCAGTGAAAAAAGCAAGATGTGTTACAGATTGTAGAGTGTGGTATGTCTTATGCATAAAGGAAGGGAAGGGCTAATAATATATTGGGCTGTCAGAAGTCATGACGCATTTTTGCTTGAAAAACAGAAGAAATATGTCATGACTTCCGACAATCCAATACTTGGGGGAGGGAAAGAATATACTTGATTTTACAAAAGGAAACTATGAAGTTACAAGAAACAATAGACAATGGGCTACTGGAGTTGAGGGCAGGCAACTGGCAAGGTGGAGGATAAACAAAGAGAAATTCTCTGTCTCTCTTAATAGCATTTGATTATTTAAATCCTATTCTTCCAGGGCCCGCTCTAGGGTGAGGCAAGGGAGGTATGAAAGAGAGCACCAAAAATCTCAGTAACCAAGATAAATATTTTAATGTAATATTTTTCAAAACCCACAATTAATGTGGAAAAAGTCCATGGTGAACAAAATAGCGAAATTTTTAAGAATCAGTAACAGTGCTGTTATACTGGAGTCCGAGGTGAAAGGTAAAATTAGTATGGAGTCTATCTTTGAAAGTTTTCACAGTAAAGAATTAAGAAATTGATAATCCCGGATGGATCCTATATGGGCAAGGTTTATCCAGGGCCTTAGGATGTTCTCCAAATCCCTCTGCCATCCTGATCCTTACACAAATGTCAGGTAACGCACTCCCTCTTGCAGCTCACTACCGCCCCCTGGTGCTGGGATTGGGCACAACCACATCCTGGGCCTCTGCTTTGGCAGTTACAGGTGGCTGGGCCAGGCCCTCTGCAGTGCTGGAACTCTCAGGTGCAGGAGACAGGCTTAGTACCCTAGTGGCACCCACAGCCTAAGGGAGGTGCCAATACACAGATTGGTAAAGCTGGGCATATGGGCAGGTGAGGCAAGCTGTGGCTGGCAGAAGGGGAGACTGGGAAGGTCTTTGGGAGGGGCAACACAGTTCTGAGACAAGCAGTCCAGAGGGCGGTGTCTCTATGGAAGGGTAGGCAGAGGGCTTCACTGGATCATTATTTCATGTTTTAGGCTGCCTCGTCCTTGTTTTACTGTCCTTTAAGCTTTTCCTGTGCCCCAAATATTTCACTTCTTTTTAAAGGTGCCCCCACTTAAGTACTGTGAGGCTGTTCAGGCAGAGGTACAGGCCACACACCAAGGCTCACATTTGAGCACTGAATTGCCATGTCTCTTGTCACAAGCCTGGGAGAAGGGTCCTCATGCTAGGGTCACTGTAGAGAGAGCCTGATGAGGTGTAGTAGTTGCCCAAGGTCACACTGACTGGACAAGGAGGTAGGAGAGGGGGAACAAGATGTGAGGGTAGGGAGGTGATGGGGCAGATGGTAGAAGACCAGGTGAGCTTATGAGGGCGTTACCTTCTACTGTGGGGGTGGCATGTGCTCAGACTCACGTTCATGGGTACCCTCTGGCTGCTGTGTTTTGGGGTCCGGTGAGGAAGGGGGAGAGAAGGAGGAAGCTGGGGAAGGTATCCAGGCCAGAGGTGATGAGGCCCTGCACCAGGGCTGTGGGAGTAAAAGGGCAGTGGTCAGATTCAGGCCTGTTTCGGAGGGAGAGCTGGTCATGTAGGAGTGACTCAGAGGATGAGGCTCCTAAGCTGACAGTGGTAGGGACAAAATAAGCCAAAGACTGAAGGGCCTGGGGAGTGAACTCTGAGGTAAAGGTGTCCTGAGGAAGCATGTTCCAAGCAGTGGAACAGCATGTGCTAGTCTGGTGTGAGGATGGAGTCACACAGACAGCTGGAGGGTCACAGGCACAGCTGCCACTCCAGGTTTCCTTCCCATCCCCAAGAGAAGAGCTGTTTCAACAGCCCTCACTACGTCCCTGTGGAACATCTGAAATCCTTTATTGGAAGATCTTTGCTGTTTACCATATAGAAGACTCAGCAGTGGACAAACAGTGAAAACAGCCCAGTGTTTGGAGCAGGCCCCTCAGCTGGGAACCCTCCCCTTACCCTGTGGACCAGCCTGGCAACCTCTGCCCCTCCCTGGACCCCCAGGCCTTTCCCTGGACCCCCGGGCCTTTGGCATAATGCTGATGAGGGGGCTGCAGGCAGTGAAGCCCCCTGACTCAAAGCAGAGACTTGGATGAGTGCTGGGGGGAGAGCAGAGTAAGGGGGTAGGCTCCCCTGAACTGGGAGAGGAGCAGCGAAAGTGGAGGAAGCCAGGAGCTGGGGAGACGGCGTCTATTTTTTTTTTTCTGAAAAGGGGTGCACAGGGGCCTGCAGGCAGGCGGTGGTGGCGAATCACGCGCTGACATCCTTTTCATCGCCTGTCTTGGGGACGGCTTCCAGCAAGGGATCCCCAGGGCCTGCCTCCTCCCCCTCCTTGGCCTCGCTGGACTTGGAGTTGGGGACCCAGAGGCCGGAGTCGATGCAGCGCTGCATGTGGTACTTCGCATCCTGCAGGGAGAAGGGCGGGCAGGTGAGCCTGGGCCACCACGTCCAGCGGCCTGCCTGTCCCCAGCACAACCTTAACCTCCACCAGTGCAGGTAACAGTTGGAAAATTGAACTCAAATTTTAACAGTGTTATGTCTTGGATAAATGTCAGCAAACTCTTCCTAAAGGGTAAGGTAGTAAAGATTCTTGGCTTATAACCCATATGGTCTGTCACGTGCAACCTCTCCACTCGTCCCATCTCAACTTTAGTCATAGTTAGTGCGTAGCCACTGCATTCCATTAAATTCGGTTTACAGCAATACAGTGAGCCTGCAAGCCACAGTTTGAAGACCCTTGGTTTAGAAGCTCATTCTCAGGGAAACTTCTAGAAACCCTGTCCAGATTCTATGACTAGATCCATTTTACAGATGAGGAAACCAGTGTGGCCAGTGAGCCAATGGGAGGGATGGGGTGAAGCCAACGTTTATTAAAACTCAAAGTCCTGGCAGCTCTCCTCCCTCCCCTCCTGATAATATTCAGGTGTCTCTTTTTTGCTTTCTCCTTTTTCTAATAAACCTGTCTTTTTAAGATGTAATAAATAAATAAATAAATAAATAAATAAATAAATAAATAAATAAATAAATAAATAAATGAAACTCGAAGTCCTTGTCTACTGGCACCATTACTGCTCTTAACAATGATGATACAGGGCCTCCCCGGTGGTGCAGGCAGTTGAGCGCCGCACTATGAAGCTGTCCGCAGCCTCTGCAGCGCTGGTTCGATCCTGGCCAACCAGCGAGGGTCTCACATAGTGAGGCAGACCTCTCCTGTTGTGCCCACTGCTCCCCTCAGCAATGTACTTTGTCAGTCTGCCTGCTCTGTTCCCCGCTCTGTCTCTGGTGAAGCCTCTCACCCTCCCACATATCTGGCCTGTACCCCGGTTCTTGTATAAATAAATAAATAAATCTTTAAAAAATAAAATAAAATAGGGCCTCCTCTGGTGGCGCAGCAGTTGAGCACTGGGCTGTGAGGCTGTCCGCAGCCTCTGCAGAACCAGTTCATTCCCCGGCCACCACTGAGGGTCCCACAAAAAAAAATAAATAAAATTAAATAAATAAATAAATAAAATAATCAGAAAACCTCAGGGTATGTTTAAAAAAAATAAAACAAAACACAATGACGACAGGGGCCTCCAAGGGGTTAAGTCTCAGCACTATGAAGTGATTGGCAGCCACCGCAGCAGGAGTTTGCTCCCTGGCCAGGAAGCTACCAATATGGTGCAGGAGACCTCTCCTGTCTCACCCGCTGCTCCCCTCAGCAGTGTATCTCAGTAGATCTGCCTGTTCTGTTCCCCACTCTGTCTCCAGTGAATCCTCTCACCCCTTACCTCTGGCCTACACCTCACTTTTTCTAAGCAAAAATAAATAAAATTAAAAAAAGAAAAACAAATGATAACAGCTGATGTTTACTAGCACCTACTATGTGCTCAGCCCTCCCCATGCATTTTGAAAGTTAATACCAACACTAGTTTGATGGGGATAATTGCAATTGGGGCTCAGGAGCCTCTAGTTGGGAGCACTGAGTGGCTGGCAAGGGTGGGCTCAGCCAGGTGTGCCAGTGACAGAGGCGATCACAGGCCACCCACGTGGAAAGCCTATGTTCACCACTGGACCGTGAGGCACACTGCAGGTGCTCGACAAAGGTGAGTGAGTGTGTGGGCACAAGCCTGGCTGCCGCCTGTGCCAGCCGCACGGTGACATGAGGGCATGTCCAGCCGGGACCCAGGTGGCCAGCGGGTGGGCGGGGCAGGTACTCACGGTGGGGTCCATCTTGCTGATGGCATCCTGGAGCATCTGCACGTCCTTCACATCAAAGCATTTCTGGAGTTCCTACAGGTGCAGAGGGGTCAGGGCTCAGGTCCCTGACACCTGGGTCCCCTTGGCCACCCCACCTGCCACCCGCTGGGGGCTGGGGCCGAACCTCGGGGAGGGACTCGTAGACCTCAACGGGGTCCAGGCCACCAGGGCCCAGCCGCTTCTTGCGCTCCTCCTCCTCATATTCCTTCATGGCCTTCTCGATGCGCAGCTTGGCACGGCCCCGCACACGCTCCTTGAAGGCCTCCAGTTCGTCGTTGAAGCCCTCCATGTACTGGCGGTCCGCTGTCTAGGGGGCAGGGCATTCACTGGGCAGCACTGGGGGACCGGAGACCCTCCTCTGCTCTGCGCATCTCCCTGCAGACCTGGACCTCTACGAAGCTCAACTTGACAACCTATTTGCTAATGATTGCCTGTCCGTGCCCCTGGAGCACAGGTCCTGACTCCCATCTTCCTCCACAGCCCGTGGGACTCTGACAGGCACCTCACGACAGCCACATTGGAGCTCTGGATTGTCCCCCCCTCTCTCCGCCCCCGTCTTCTCTACCCTCGTCCTTAGCTCAGCAAGCAGAAGCTCTACTTTCCAGGTACTCAGGCACGAAACCCAGGAGTTTTGACCCGAATCTGTTTAGCTCTGCTTTCAAAATCAATCTGGACCTGACACTGCTCACCTCCACCAGGGCTCAGCCATCTCCAGATGGACAAGGTTCTGACCACCAAGTGGACATATATCCACTGTAGGCTGGTTCCCTGAGAAAAGCCGCTGCCACCGCCACCCAGGGCTGCTCAGGGCCCCTACCTTGATCTTGGTAAAGAACTGCCGGAAGCAGGCACGGGGATCCACCTTCAGGCTCTTGGCCAGCTCCAGGATGAACTGCATGACGATGGTCTGGTGGGCCACCTGCTCCATGAGTGCACATTTCTGCCAAGAGAGAAACGGCAAAGCTTCACCAAGAGGCAGCCTCAGGACAAAGCCTCTCTCTAGCCCTGGGGCAGGCTCCACTCACCTCCTCCACCTCCAGGTCAATGCACCAGATGACCAGGTAGTTGGCCGTCTCCTCGCACACCAGGTGGACATTGTCCGACAGGTACTTCTGGCTGTCGTCCCAGCGGCGGAGCATGCCTGTGAGAATGTATTGGCAAAGTGCTAGGAGGGCTCTAGAGAGGGAGAGCCAGTCTGTGTCACATGCGCCCCCTGCCCCCTACCAGTGGTCACATGCCCAACTCACCAAAGTGCTTGATCTGTTTCTCATATTTTTCTACGAAGGTTTTGTGTTTCTGCTCCCTCACCTCCTCCGACTCCTCCTCTGCCTGCTCAGGCTTGGTATTGACCATGCTCTGTGGTGGGGCAAGAGGGGGAGTGGGCTGGGGCAAGGCCGCAGAGTGCCTTGAACATGGTCGGGCTGGCCGCGGCCGCAATGCCCATCCCATGTACGATGGAGGTGATGACAGCGCCGTGAACATCAAGGTGGCGGGAGCGTGGGCGTGGCAGGTGTGGCCTCGGACTAGGGCCTTGGGGCAGATCAGAGGGGGTAGACCGGTGGGGTGCTTTATCCATCCAGCCCCTCACCGGGTCCCCCACCCCACCCACCTTGTGTGCCTCCCTTGACCTGAGCGGGCTTCCACTTGGGGAAGTACACGCACCTTGCTGAAGCCATCTTTGCTAAGAGTGTCCACATTCCAGGGCATGCTTTTCTCCTTCTTGCGCATTTCCTCCAACTTCTGCTCCCAGCTCCGCTCCTCCTTGCGCAGCTGCTGTGCCTCGGCCTGCAGCCGCTCTAGCTCTGCCTTGCCGCCCTCACTCTCAGCCACCTCCAGCTCCTTTAGCTTCCGCTGGCATTCGGCTACCTTGCGCTTGCACTCGCGACAGCCCCTGTCCAGCTCCTCCTTCTCCTTCTGGAACTGCTCCATGCGCTCCACCCGGGCCTACGGGCAGGGACAGTCAGGAATGTTTTGTTCCTTGATCCAGTCCCATCCTGAGCCTAAGGTTTCCAACCACTGTACCTGGGATAGACCCAGGGAACGCCTACACCAACTTCCACCCTTACCCCCAAGGTACCTGCACACACCTGAGACAGGGCAGGTCCCTGCCCTGCTTGGAAACCTCCATGACTCCCACCTCACTCAGGGCAAAAGCCTACATCCTCCCTGCAGCTGACAAGTTCCTGTGAGATCTGTATCATCAGCTGCACCCTCCTCCAGTCTGTCTCCTTCCTCCAGCCACACTGACTGCCTCACCTTTTCCTAAACCCACTTCAGATCTTAGAGCCTTTGCACTGGCTGTTTCTTAGGCCTGAAAGGTTCTCTCCAAGATGCCCGCCACCCTCCTTGCATCCTTATTATCTTTGTTCAAAATCCACCTTACAGACAAGGCCTACCCCCAACCACCCTACTGAAGAGGGTAACCTTCCCCTATTCTCACTCTGTTTTATCTTCCTCCCCAGTACTTGTCATCTGCTGATAGCCCATGACAATTATTTATCACATTTTGGGCATTGTCACCCTTTAAGGACACTGGGTTCTAAGAAGGTGGGGAACTGCTCACATTTCTCCCTCTAGCACCAGGAAAATAAAGTAACAGACGCTGGATGGGGGCCTCATGCTCCCTCTCCTCTTTGGAGTCACCCTCAGCAACACTCAGGCACCCACCCTGCCCACCAACTCCCTGCACCACTCTGGTCAAGGTGTCCCACAGGCATCTCCAATTCTGTGTCCAAAACTGACTTCACTATCTTAGCTCCCCACAAACCTGGTTTTCTATTTTGTCCTTCCTCAGTGAAGCACCTCTCCCACACTGCCTCCTGCCCCTGGCTAAGGCCTGCTCACTGGCCCTCAATCTCTCATCCTCTCTGCCACGGAGTCCTCAGTTTCTAATTCCAGATGTTTCTCCAATCCATTCCACCCCTGGATCACTGCCGAGAGCCCCTCAGCTCTGTCTCTAGGTAAGCACGTTGTCCTGAGTCAGGCTTGGTATCCACTCTATCCAGATGTCACTCCCTAATCTCCTCTCCCACTGTACTCCAGGCTCAGTGATGGCACCCCATGTCCTTACTCCCACTTTAACTGCCCGTGGCCTGGCTCCACCATCACCTTCTCTGGTTCCCAACAGTGCCACTGACCAAATCTTGAGAGGTGCCAATTCCTTCGTATGCTTTCCCCCTTTCCAGGCTGTCAGAGGAGTTGTTGACTGCAAGCATCCCTACTATGCAACACGGGGTGTCTGGGTTCAGATGGGACCCCTGATCCTCGTTCCAAGCTGCCTAGATGTCACCCAGGCCCCGGAGGTGATTGGGTTCTACTCTCTTCCTCCAACTCTGGGTCCCAGACAGATGCTGGCTCTGGCAGTGCCCTGAAAGGACCAGGCCTTACCTGTCTCTTGGTCTCTGCAGATGCTGTTCCTTCTACCTGAAACTCTGTTCTCCTTATTCCACCTGCCTTGCCCCCGAGTCCTTGACGGGACCTTCCCCAAGTGCCCATCCCAGTGCTACTGAATCCCAAAGGCCCCTCTGTGATCATCAGATGGGATAAAAATGCTAGAGGACAATCTTGAGGCTCCAGACTTGGGACATATTTCACAGCCACAGTGTTCTGGCTGGGTCCCCGGGGCCAATCCCTTAATCTCTGGGACTTGTTTCCTCAAATGCAGACAACAATGCCAATTTCACTGGTTGTGCTGGGGGAAGTGAAGGAGATTACAAATTAGCTGGTCCAGAACTATGCTAGACACTCAGCAAGCACCACACCCATGCTAGTGACTGTCATTACTGTCAGTCCAAAGGGACCATCTCTCTCTCTCTGGCAGACAGCTCTTGGACTCAAACAAGAAAATGTATGTGAAGCAGTGAGTTGAATTTCTGGCCCAGAGTAAAAGCTCGACAACTGAGAATGGTCTGCTAAACTGCTTCTGGGTCTTATTCAAAGTCATAGTTCCAGGTTCTGTCATAGGATCAGGCACATGGTGAGCAAGAAGCAGGAGTTCTGAGCCCCTCTCTAATGTCCATGGGACTGACACAGCCAATCCTGAGCCTCACTTTTCCCCCGTGGATAAGGGGCCAATAAGACCTCTGCCACTTCCCTTTTCCAGATGGGTTTCAGTAGCATAGCTGCCTCAGGGAACAGCAGGCACCTACCATGCTTATTTCTGCTAGGCAGCCATCAATTTCTTCTTGGTGTCCCCTGCAGGGCCACCAGGAAGGCTAAAGCTAAATAAAGGTCTCTTAGAACAGGTGGTGGCAGCAACCTGCCTGTTCTGGGCTGGATACCACTGTGAGGGGCTGGAGCTGGCTTGGCAGGGCAAGAAACTTGGGTGGTGAGAAGGACCCATAGCTGTCACTTCCCCACTGCCTTACAGAAAGGGAAACTGAGGCTTACAGAATCTGGATGCTACTCAGTCTACTGGAAGGAACCACAAAAAAATAGTCCTGACAGCTATCTCTGGGTCAGAGAGTGGGGAAGCTGGAGGATGTCTACTTCTAGAATATCTTTTTTTTTTACCACGACTGTAATTACCTAAACAATACCAGTAATAGTGGTAAAAGTTTAGAAAGCTTGTTAAACATTAGATGTGTCCCAAGAACATCACAGATGTTAAATAAACAAGCTGACCCTCAAAATAACCCCATGAGATAGTTACTGTTAACATTCCCAGCTGGGGAAACAAGTAGGGAAAGATCAAAAAAATTCACTGTAGGTAATGTGGCAAGTCAGTGATTCAGAAGGAGCCTGCAGAGAACCCAAGTGGGAGGGTCCCTGTACAAAGCACATCTCTCTATCTCTTTACTAATACCTCCTAATAGTTTCCCTACAAATACTCCCTTCCCTTCCCCACAGGTCAAATTCATTTTGGACCTAATGTCATTTCATTCAAACAAGGTCTTGTGGAGGCAGGGGTCTCAGTACCCCATAGAGTAAAATGCAAGTGGCAGGACTCGGATTAGAACTCACACTTGCTTGTCGCTGTACCAGATGCTTGAGATGCTGAGGCCCCCTGCCTCCATCACTCTCTACAAGGGCTCTTCACAGCAGGACACTAAAACATTTAGGGTTAGGAGGGAGGAAGGTATGGTGGAGAAGGTGCTGCAGGACAAGGGGTACCGGCCTCAGCAGAGTCAAACTATCCTCTACACAGTGGTTTAGATGAACCTCTTAATGTGACAGAAATAGGTATTGCCAAGAATGTTCTTTAGAGCTCTACAGAGAACTTTAATATTCCATAACAAAATGTTACACACAGGAAGGAAGAGAAGTGCTAGAACTTTCTTCTTACAGTGCAATGGCTTGTTGGCAGGTACACTACCCAAGAGACCGCTGCCTTAAGGAATGGATTGGAAATGGGACTGGGAACCAGATGTAGGGACTAATGCTGTCTTGGCAAGACAAAGAGTTCCTTCTAGGAGTTTCTGGGTATATAAGCTGCCATGTGAAAGAGTAAAGTGAGGAATTCCCAACTGGAAGTTTCTTGGAAGTGTAGCCCTTAGGTTTATTAGAGTATTACAGACATAAGTATGTGGTACAGAAGTTCAGATCTGGGGGAGCAAGAGGTTAGAATATTAGATTTTATGAGAGGTTAGAATATTAGGTTTTAGAATATTAGGTTTATTGGGTTACGAGCATAGCTGGACAGGGGAAGAGGTAGAAAGACATGTAGACTTGAATTCTGGGGTCTGAATTTGGGGGCAAATAGATAAAAGTGGGGCAGTGAGTATGGAATCACACTGGGAGGATCCCTGGTGTGAACAAGGACAATTTGTGGTTGAAGAAGAGCAGATTAGGCTGGGATCAGGAAGATGGTGGAGTGGGTTTGGACGAGTTGTTTCAATGTGTCAGAGGTTCATACAGGTAGCCTGTTTTGGGGTGGTGTCTGGGTCTGCTTACAAAGAGCAGGCACTCTGGCAAGGCCCCAAACCACGTTGGTAGGGTTTCCTGGTAGAACGGAAAATGGGATCTACAGTAGGTCAGTGAAAGGAGCAGGACTAGAATTTGAGATTATATCGGGGTAGAGCTGGTGGTTCGGTTTGGAAGGGAATAGGATTCTAAAACACTAGTACTAGATGGGGCTGAGGAGAATGAGAAAAGGGCCCCAAGATCAGGGACAGAAATCTGAGGGGAGGACACAGTTCTTTGTTATGTTTGGGTAAGAAGTGGGATTTCTGAATGGGAACCCCCATCAAGATTCAGGGGGTCACATCCCAGAATAGGATCAAGGTATTAGGGGTCCAGATTCTAGGGACCAGGGAGGAGGCCATGGGAAATCCAAGAACAGAAGTGGGCATGGTACAATCAGGTACAGACACTGACGTAGAGTTTTGGGTGTAAACGGAATTCCCCAGACAGATCTGGGGGCACCCCCAAAGTTTGTCTTGGAAGTCTAGCCGCTTAAGAAGGTGCCCTAGGTAATCAACTGGGAGTTTCATGCAGAAATCCGAGGGGGTGGGGGTAGGCCTGGATCGAAGGCAGGGAGTCTGGGTCCGGGCAGTTCTTGGGTCCCGGAGCTGAATCGAGGAACCCCAGGCGATCCGGAAAGTCCAGATTGCAGAGCAGGAATCCCGGGAGGTTAAGGCGAGGCCCCCCGCAGTATCAGGGGTCAGAACTCTGGAGCAGAGTCCCGGGAGTGGGGGAAGGGGGTGGACGCACGCGCGTACCTGGTGCCGCCAGCGGAAGAGGCTGGCCGTGTCGATGTTGGGGTGCGTCTCATCCTCATCGTCAGACACCTCGATGTGGTCCCACACACTATAGTCCACCATCTTGCCTAGGCGGCCCAGCCCGCTCCCGCTCAGACGGCTGCGGCGGCGGCGGCAGCGGCAGCAGCGCTTAGACTTGCCCCGCGGAGCCCCGCCCCTTCCGCTTCCGTCCCGGGGGGCCGCTCCCGCCCTCACGTGACGTCACATCCCTAGTAACCGCGGCAGCGGCACTGGCGACCTTAAAGGGCCCCGCTCACGTGTTCCGGGTCTCCGAATTTTCCCCCTCGGTCCCCCGCCAAGACCCACCTCATCGCGCGGGGGACCTCCGCTAGGCACCTCCTAGGGTTATAAAAATGGGCACTCCAACCTTGAGCTCCCCTCATCTCCCGCTACCCCACAGTGAACATTTGAAGCAACCGCGACTGGGGGCTGTTGGCTAGACTGAGGGAAATGATTGTTCCCTTAGCCACGCCGCAGTGACGTCACCTGAACACACTGCAGGGGCGGGGCCTCGGCGAGAAGACTTGCTCCCTGCCCCTTGAGAAGGGGGCCCTAACTCTACACTGGGGAGGGGGGGTGTCTGATCTGGGGGGAATCTTTCCAGCCCAAGTGGTACCAGGCCCTGCTCTTGGGAGGGTCTAAACGGGTACCGGGCCTGCCCTTGAGGGGGTTGGAAGTTGGGGCGGTGTGGCCCTGCCTTGCAGGCTGGTGTTTCTCCAGTTCCGACCGTACCCTTACCCTCCCGCCCCCATCATCTGCCTCTTTTGCGCGGGGATTTGCGCACAACTGCCCCACCTGGAATCGCCAAAACCTCCTCCCCCAGCGCGTCTCCGGCGCCCTCTGCAGCGACTCCCTGGACGGCCGCTGGGTGTCGCTAATGTCCAGCCGGCGGCCGCTGCGCCTGGCCCCGCGCAGCTTCGTAGCGTGGACAGCCATGGGGAGGGTCGTGGAGGTGAGAAGGGGGGTTTTCCTAGTCGATTTACTCTAGGACTTCTCGCAGACCCTCCTTTTCCGTCTGGGGGTCCTTCCTCCGCCAGGGCTCTAAGGACACCATTACTTTGAGTTGGGGAGACCCCAAATGTACCCTTTGATACAGCCCAACCCACGCTTTGAGGCAGGAATAAAAGCAGTGTTGCAGCCTAAGGCCAGGATTATCTCAGATTAATGGGCGCTTTTTGGGGGGCGGCGGGATGGGAGGAGCTTCAGCCACTCGGGTGAGGGACGTCTCTTTTTAGACTCCCCCAGAGCGGGTGCTGGCGGGGAAAGGGCTGGAGGGAAGCGAGTAAAGGTCTCCAGTTGTGGGGGAGGCGGGAAACTCCCGGCCCCGGGAGGAGGCGGAGCTATCTCCACAAAAGCGCCCGCCCGCTGCCGCCCCTCCCCCGCCCCTCCATTCAAACCTGCGGGTGAGTGGGCGGGCGGGGGTGGAGGAGTCCCCCTTTTCCCCCTCCCCCTCCAGCCCGGGCTGTCCGGCTTCTCGGCGGCGGTCACGGCCTGGGCACGCGCGCGCACGGACCCACACCCCAGCGGGTCTCTCAATCGCGCGTGCACACACACACACACACACACACACACACACGAGCAAACAAAGGGTTGGACTCCCCTGTGCCCTCCAGCCCCCTAGGCTGGAGAGGGCGGGGCATCCCCTCCCCAGCCCCTCTGCAAGGTAAGCTTCGGGAGGTGAGCGGTGTTGGGGAGGGGACCCGGTGCCCGGGAGGGAGGGTACCTGAAGCTCCTGGTAGGAGCTGCCCCCGCTCCCCAAGAAAGCCGGGTCCCCCCATACACCCTTTAAGGGTTTCAGACCCGCTTGCGGACCGGGGGCCGTGTGGGGAGGACCCGGAATGCCGGGGATTCCCTAATAAACGCGGGGGAAGGGGTCTCTCTCCCTGGCTTCGGAGACTGCGGCTCCCTGGTCCCAGCCAGAAGCTCCCCAGCAACACCAGTCATTTTCTAATCTGCCAACGCGTCATCTCCAGCTCTGGGGACCGAGACAGAGAGACCCCTGAGTTGCTTTGCGCTTGTCCCTCTGTCTCTCACCGCCCACCTCCCTACTCTGCCTCAGCCACTCATCCTTTACTGTTGCAGTGAGGTGGGGGTGGGGAGTTGGGACCGCTTCTCTGGACTACCTGAGCATCCTCTGCTGCATCCCACAGCTCCACACTCACTATTCAGCTGCGGGGGGGTGCCCAGTCGCGGCTTTGCCTTCCTGGGCCTTAATTTCCCCATCTGCAAAGTGGGTAATGACACACTGAGGATTCCAAGAGGTTTTGCACGTGAGCCTGACTTTGCTCCATCGTTTCTTTCTTAGCTCATTTCACATATATTTCCCAAGCGCTCACTATTTGTAAGTCGAGCACGGTGACCAGGCTGTGGGGCTGCGTTAGCCAACAAGCCCAGCCTGGTACCTGCTTTGCTGCCACTCAAAACAGGCAAAGGAGCAAGATCAGTGTGTAAATGGACAAATACCTTCGGTGATTTCAGACCGAAGACTAAAATTTCACTAGGCATAGAGAGTAAAGAGGGTAGGGCACTCAAGATAGCTGAGATTTTTGGTGTTTATCTACATCATGAGGGTAGAACTGGGTCTAGAACAATGCTCAGCACACTATACATGCTCAATAAATGTTGAATGAATTAAAGAGAGGATTATATTAAGACTATTTTCATAGCACTTTAAATTAGGAAGGCGATTACCATGAACCAATTTTTCCCCACTCCCATTTTATAGATGTGGGAAGTGAGTCTCTAGAGAAGGGGAAAGATGTTGTCAGTGGCCACACAGAGAACTGATGAGGTGTCATTGTAACCATAAAAGTGAGAATGGCTGAAGGAATGGTTGTAAACAGCCGGGAATGGGAGGGAGTAGACACCAGACCAGACTTGAGTAGACACCTCTAGTAACCTATGACACCTAGCTGGCATCCATCTCTCCTTCATAGAACAGATACAGCCCTAACTTATGCATCCAACAAGTACCTATTAGGTAGCTACTATATACCAGGTGCTGGAGACACAGCAATGAACAGAACAAAATCTGGCCCTGATTGAACTGACATTTAGTGGAGGAAACAGAAAAGAAACAGCATAAGCAAACAAGTAATATATAACAACAAACCGTGATGAGGAATGTGATAGAAATAGCTTGTGATGACGGAAAAATGGAAGGGTACACTACAGCTTGTGTATCCAGGAAGACCTCCCAGAGGAGCTTAATTACTTTCAAACTCAAACATTTAAATTCAAACAAATGGACTACATAACTAGTGAGTGACTGAGCAGAGATCCGAACCTGGAATGTTCATTAAAAAAAAAAAAGATTTATGGGCCTCCCGGGTGGCTCAGCAGTTGAGCACTGGGTTGAGAGGCTGCCCGCAGCCTCTGCAGGGCCAGTCCGATCCCTGGCTGCTCCCTGGCCTCCGGAGGAGGGTCCCACATGGCGCGCAGACCTCTCCCACCTGCTGCTCCCCTCAGCAGTGTGCTTCAGTCCTTCTGCCTGCTCTGCTCCCCGCTCTGGCTCTGGTGAATTCTCTCACTCTCCTGCGCTTGTGACTGTACCCAGTGCTTATATGTATCAATCAATCAATCAATAAATAAATCTTAAAAAAAAGATTTATTTTTATGCAAGAGCTGGGGTACAGGCCAGATGTGCGGGAGGGTGAAAGGATTCACCAGAGACAGAGCAGGGAGCAGAACAGGCAGACAGACCGAAAGCACCGCTGAGAGGAGCAGTGGGCACAACTGGAGAGGTCTGCCACGCCATGTGGGACTCTCCCTGGCTGGCTGGGAACCGAATCCACGCTGCAGAGGCTGCGGACAGCTTCACAGCACTGCGCTCAACCCCCTGTGCCACCAGGGAGGCCCTGGAATCTCATTTCTAACCACTGAGAATATTTCCTGCTCTCTCCATATTCATGGACGCCTCCCCCAACACACACACTCATATTAAAATCACATGGAGTCACATCCAACCTCACGCCCACAGTGACTGAGGTGGTATCACCCTATCACACATACTCTTGCAGGTATAGTCTGATCTCAACTAACAGACTTACAGAAAGTTGCACTGTCCAGTTGCATGTATACACATATATACAAAGTCTGATGCACATATATGCATGCAATACACACATGTGTAGCCCCTGACAGTTCTTCCCAGCCTGCCTCATCATTGGGCATAGAGCTTGTGAGGCCTGGATGTTCAGGTCAAGATGTGAACAAGGGCATTTATCCTTCCCTTTTGTTGGCCACCTGTCCCCATATTCTTCTGAGGGAGGTGGGGGATGGGCAGGATGTTAGATTGGGAGCCAGCACACCTCTGTCAAACCAGACCAGGGGCTCCCAGGCTGGGCTGGCAGCCAATCACAGTGACGTACTAGATGGGGGAAGAGGCCTCTCAATCTGAGCTTGGTGCCAGCTGTCCAGAGTGCCTGCTCAACCATCTGGACCCTTCTCCCCAGCCAGCCTGCTGCCCAGGGGAGGGGAAGGCAAAGGCTTAGCAGCACCTCTCCTCCTGGGCACTCAGTCCAGTTCTGGAGACCTTGTCTCCAACGCCTGGTTTCTGCCAGGATTGATTTCTGTAAAAGTGCATGGATGTTCAAACAGTAGTGGCACTCTCCCCCACTGATCTGTGGCGCTCTGCTGGTCATCCACTCTTCCTTCTTTCTTTCATTCCACAAATCCTCAAATACCTACCATGCTATTCCAGGCCCTGAGGATATAGCCAGAACCGACTACAGAATTTGTGGAGACATCAGCAAGAAGAAAATGCAATTCCTCTGTTCAAAATTATGAATATTATTATAATGGTATAAGTCAAAAATAACAAAAGGAGAGCAGAATCCAGGAGATTACGGCAGTAGGTAGAGGAAGGAGCACAAGATATGTGAGGTTTAAGTTCCCAGGGTGGGAACAGCAAGTGCAAAAGCCCTGAAGTCTGATGTGCTGGAAATATTTCAAAAACATCCAGGAGGGTAGTGGGGCAAGACAGAGGGTTGAAGGAATTGCGGTCCATGTGAATATATTGCTATAATCCTAAGTCAGCAACAAGAAGAATAAAATAAGAGTGATATTATTATTACTAGGATAATGGCTACTGTTTTGTGAGCACTTAAAATGTGCCAGGCCCTGGGCTTGGAACTTCCCATTATTGCTCCACTTCATCCT